TCGCTGAGGCCACTAAAGTAGTCAGACATTGCCAGGAAGACGTGAAATCAACAATTCTAATGCGAAAAAGAGCACGGGGACTCACATCGACGCCGACAACATTGCCTTCGAATGATTTATTTATGGGCAACGGCGAGCTTTTTGTCCACCATCGCACCATGGCCTTCGGGATCTCGCAGCTTATGATCGCGGCGCGCGCGCTTCAGCATGCGCTTCGCGCATGAGCGATTTTTGCATGCGCATGACTGCCCATGCACGGCGCCGGTGGCATTTGCTAGGGGCGCTCAGGTTTGTTTGTAAACATGAGTTGGTCTATAGGAGCACATGTTTCTCGCTGACGAATTCTGTGACGCCGGAAATTTTGTGCCTTTTTACAGTAGCACCATTGTTCTCCGAGGTTTGGATGCTGAGCTTCTGTACAGATATGTTGCAGCTAGGGATGTCGCCAACTTTGGTCGAGCCGAATTTTTACGTCGTCAAGTAAACATTCTCTACCAACCTTCCCAACAAGTATTGGTGAAAGTTGGATAGACTTGACGATTGTTTCAGGGAATTTTCTAAATAAAAGATCACACTGGGAAATAATGGATAAAGAGTCTTTAGGCGATCGTTAATATATTTCTTTTGGCCTAATGAAATTAAAAACTCAACCACGGAGAAAATGAACGGTCTAACCAAACTTTATGAACTTTATGGTGAAAAAATGACTTCCGTTTAAAATCTATTTCTCTAATTTAACAGGGGATATAACAGAGAAGAAATTACTTTTATCATAAATTTAACAAAAAGGATAAAAAGCTGTGAAAGAAATGTTAGAGATAGTGAGCATACTACACCATGGGGAACTCAGAACTAATCAGAATAAAAGCTAATGCGTTACGCAGAAGATATCAACGATGCAACATTACAGAACTCAAGCAACTATATAAAAGAAAATGCTATGATTTCAAAGAAACATATAAAGAGAAGATAAACTTGGCTAAAATAACATCATGGAGGAACTTTTGCTACAAAAATACAGAAAGTTCACTATTTGGAGTTTCTTACAAAATCGCTTTTAACAAAGTTAAAATACCACTTTTTATAGCTCCAATAACCAAAACTGATGAAACCAGCATCACATTGCTGCTAGAACCAATAAATTATATGCAAGATAACAATTTTTAAAAAAGACTATGTATCCACAGACTTTGATAATACAAGAAATAATACAAGAAATAAAATAATTGAACTCCCAGTAAATGCAGACGACTATCTCTTCAATTAGCAGAAAATAAATGCCATCATCAATAATTTACGTATAAAAACAGCCCCTGGGGTGGATAAAATTACATGTCCTATATTTATCTATTTACACAAATACCTGCTGCGCTGTTAGGCATTATGCAGGGGGAACAAAAGAAAAACACATTCAAAAGACATCTTCAGTAATGCAATCAACAATCATTAAGGGGGGGACATGGGCCTAAAGTTTTTATTTTTTTGAAAAAATTCATTTTTCAATTTTGACGTTTTCAGTTTTAGAAACTAATTATACACCCTTACACCAAATTTGATAACCATACGCCAAATATTTACGATGATATAAAATATTTTCAACAGTTGTGAGGCAGTAACAAAGTAAAGGAGTTCAATGTTTGAATGCATTTTTCTCAGTTCCGCTTTTTGCTGCAAATTTCATACGAAGGAATCTTTTGTTCGAAGGTGAAAGTGTTCAGATACCACAATCAAGAAGTTTCTGAACTGAAATTTACTGGGGAATTGGGCTATCTACTTTATTTTGTTTTAAGTTAAAGTCCTCAGTGATAAAAAGCCAAGTTTTCAAAAATTGACATAGGACAGATTTGCATCTCATATTTTGAGGTAATCACTCTTCCTGAAATATTTACATTTGGGTTATAAAAACTAGATAGCCCGAAGTGCCACATCCCCCACTTTATATTCTAGCAGTCAAAGTGGTGCTTAATAGCTTCATTTGCATATCATAGATTTCTTAACAAAGAGTGACACATTTTCTTATGCAGGTATGTAAAGTTGTCCTGGAGAGCTGAAAGTTTGCACAGTACACCTACATCTGACGTTAAATCTCCTCTCTAAATTTCATTCCAATCACTTGAGTAGTTAAGAAGTTTGACCTCTAGCCAGTGTCCCCCCTTAAGTACATACTACATTTTCACTCGAGCATGTTTTCTGCAGTCTGTCATAAAAGAGGTTATTATTGATAACAGCTAGCAGTTCTTCCGGATTATAAAACAAATATGAACTCTCATCATCCACATTTTACATAAATATATTTAACTTGTGTTTACAATCAGGCTATTTTTCGAGAGTGTGGAAAGTAGGCAAAGTAATTCTATTAAATAAACCAGAACGTCCAAATAATCTCACAACCTCATATTGACGAATCTGTTTAAATTCTCTACTTGATAAAAGCTTAGAGCAATTACTTAAAATAGACTATTTTTTAAACAAATCAAGCCTATTACACTTGGATCAATATGGGTTTACCCATAACAAATCTTCCACAAAAGCACTATATAACTTACCTCAATATATTCATATAATAAAACTAAAACAAAAAATACAATAATCGCTCTTTAAATTCTCAAGGAGCATTTGACTCGGCATGCTACCCTTTAATTCAAAGAAATGTCCACCAAATTGATATTCCCTACTCCGCTCATTCTTTGTGGATAGAACTCCGCACTATAATTTAGAGCCTAATCCAGTACAAAAGAAAATAACTTTGGGATGCCCACAGAGATCTCCACTAAGCCCATTATATTATAGGATATTGTAATACACAACCTACTAAATGCTAACCTTCCAATACATACACATATACAGGCATTTGCAGACGATGTGGTGCTTGTGGTAGACAGATTATTATGCCTTGAAATCGAAACGCGCTCCAAAATTATTTTAAACCAAATAATACAGTGGGCAAAAGAAAGAAAGTTAACATTTAATTACTCTAAATGTTGCGGCTTACTAATAGCTCCAGGAAACAAATACAAAAAGCATTTTCCACAGATCAAGTTTAACAATAAGTTAAAATTCAAATAGGAATTGAAAATCTTAAGAATCGTTTTGACCCCCACTTATAATTTATTCCTCACATGACATATCTAAAAAATTAAAGTACTTAAACATGCATTTAATTTAGCCCGTTTCTCATCAGTGCACTGGGTCTGAGCAGCAACCAAATTAGGAAAATTTATCTGCATTCCATAGAGTGTTATATAGTATACAATGCACCTGTATGGTGAAAAAAAAAACAATGTGCATTCAACCGCTGGACTACCAACTGTTTAATGACTCTTCTTCCTCTTCGACTAGCTTTGTTTGTTCTATTTTTCTTCTTCATTTATTTCTGCATTTAATGAGAATCTTCATCAACTAGCTTATGCCTTCTTCTCGATTTTCTACTTGTTAGAAGTGCTGTCACCTCGCAGGAACATTTTCTCTTTTTTGGATAGGGAGACTGATGGTGAACTAACGCACTTGTCTTCTTTCGCTTCTATGGCCAAAGTCTCGAGTACCTCGCAGGCAAACTGGTTTCTGTGGCACCCTAAGATGGTCACATGCTCGAGGTTGGCCTTGCACAAGCATGCGTGACAACGTGCGGCTAGGTTCCCTGCTGTTGTCAAGTTTTTTTCGGTTGTTCGCATGTTCCTGTGTTCTGTCGTTAATGCGCAGCGCCTCGTTTGTCCGATGTAGCAGCACCCGCATGTCAAGGAAATGTTGTAAATGGCTTCCTTTTCACACGGGGCATATTTGTTCTTGTGATTGGTGTCACATACAATTGTTCTGTTGACTTGTGCCTGGTTCACTTTACGGCACATCAAATAGGCTTTATTCAACGCCGAGCACACCACTTGTGCTTCTTGTCGGCTCGCAATCCTTCTTAATCTATGTGTGATCCCATGGATGTACGGGACCACAATAAAAGGTTTCCGTGTCTTTTTTTGTGTTGTGGAGTCAATATGGTCGCTAGTCTTCTTGATGTTTTGGCATCTTCTTTTGCATATGGAGGTCAATATTTGTTGGGGGTAGCCAGCATCCTGAAGTCTGGATACTTGTGTATCGAAGCTTCGTGTGATTTGATGTTCAGATGACTTTTTTAGGCTGGATGACTGGGCTGTCGTGGCTTCTCCCTGCTTTGCAGTTTTTTTGGAATGCTCAAAGTTGGAGGGGAGGAACCCTTTAGCCGATCGGGCTTGGTACCTCCAGCATACATGTCTTTTTTTTAAATTCTAATGCCAAATCTAGATATTTTATGTTTTTCCTAATGGGAAGCTCATATATGAAGGTGAGTCCCATGCAACATTGTTCTTGAGATGCCTGGCAACCAGCCAGAAGCTACATCCTTGTTGGAACCAATCGAGCAATGCCGACATTGTCTTCCTGCACGTAAAAGGAAGCTCCTTTCAAGAAATCTGGCCCATGCATGACATTTGATTAGACCGGCTTGGACACGTGTCCAAACCGGTCCCGGTCCTAGCCGCAGCAGCGCAGCCGTTTGTAAGCCATCACGAGAGGCTTAAAAACTGGTCGTGTCCAACACGGACCTAGTCAAATTCCACTTTGTGAACGGGCCTTTAGAAGCGGACTCGTACTGCTTTCTGCCCCATGAACTCACGTAACTGGAGCTTAAGTAGACGTAAACCGCAATTATTCTGAAAAAGATGCAATTGGGGCATGTGAGGAGCCTCTCTGCCGCCTGTTATTTGTCCAAAGCGTCGGTACATCATCATCGACATCCACGAGCCAGCTTAGTGGCGAGCGAGGTTCATATGACCCCACCAATGGCGTCACTTTTGCTAGTTTTTCTCTCTGCATGCCAAAATTCTAATTGGCGATTACGACGCTCCCGCTAATAGCATTGAAGGAAAACGTGAATTTTGAGGACATAGAAACTTTACAATTGCAGGGCCCCTTGAGCTTAAGGTGGGACAAAGTCTAGGAAGTTTGAAGGGTGCATGTATGTTTGTGCGCAGGGCGGTGATGGCGATAGCGGCGTATGTGAATGGCACGGACGAGCGTGGGCGGGTGATTCGACGGACCCTGGCTCGCTACCTGTCCCTGCTGTCGGCACTCACCTTCCAGGGAGTGAGCACCGCCGTCAAGAAGCGCTTCCCCACTCTCGACCACATGGAGGAGGCCGGTGAGCTTCTCTGGATGTTTTGAAAATAGGCTTACGAATTGCTTTATTCACACCATGCATTTTCTCAACGGTTTCGCAATAACGGCTAGCTATCGGCTAGCTCAGGGAGAGCAGGGCAAAGCCATTTGAAAACCCAATGTTCTAGCGTCTCACTAGAGCACATATCACACTTGTCTATAACAGCAAAGAGCTTCCAAGTGAATTATCAAACACCTTTTCCTTTCTCATGTCCTGTTGTTGTGATTTTTCTTGCGGTCTTCTCTCCCACATTTCCTTTCTACCTCCTTCACCCTCTTTTTTACTCAACTAGTATGCTGAGCCTCATCACTAGTATGCAGGTATTTTAAGCTTTTGGCTTCTGTTTGTTCATTTTGTGTTTCAAACTGTTCATATATAAATACTGGAATACTTTGTCTCCAACAGGTATCATCCATTTCGGTTACCTACTTTGTATCTATCATAATCACTTAGTGCCCGAGTATCATAATAGCTGAACCTTGTTCCCCTTTCCAATTATATTTTCTTCATTACTGCCAGATACGTATTTGTGTTTTTCTACGTGGTCTATTTCACTACCTTGTATTTTCGGGGGTTCCCTTTTTTGATTGTTCAACACCATTACCCCAGACTTGTCGCTACTAAACGTCAAGCCCAAGCTGTCCCCTTTCTCTCCACATATTCTGTTTAGTTCCTGTAAAGTAGTATGCATACATTAGTCCCGGTAGTACTTGTATTCCATTTCTCCCTCCTTCCATATAGCTCGCATGAAAACCTAGATTGCTCTGCTCTGATTTCTTTTCCGTTTCGCTATCACGAGGTGCAGGGGTAACAGTGGAATGTCTGTGTAGTTTCTGCTTCCAACCCCCTTATTGACGGTGTACACTTGCTGGAGGTCAAATTTCCGTCTTATGTGTTAGCACACCATCAGTATCGCTGGGGAGGGAAAGGCTTTATCGAGACACGTAACATATATTTATCGGTTATTTTGTATCTTCTCTTTCCCTGCTACCATAGCACGGATATGTGCCCTCAAATAAACGGGCGGAAAACCTCAACAAACTGAAACTCTTCTCTGAAACACTGACAAATTTGTCCGGACTGTGCTTCACAATGTCTGAGGATGTTTTGCCAAAATAGCAGTGTTTTCAAACTGAGGCAAACAACCACATCTATTACAGTTTTGCCAAAATAGCAGTGTTTTCAAACTGAGGCAAACAACCACATCTATTACAGTGGATGGTGAGATGCTCCTAAGGTGCATAGCTTAAAGCTAGCGTGTCTGCTCTAGCCTGGATATTTATACATCTTCCCGTCTGGCCTAGGCAAACCTGAATTCGGTAAACAATGCCAGCTGCACATACCTACACGGCAGTGTTGGGAAGTATTTTAAGTAACTTGTACTTAACTAGAGGTACATTCTCTGAGTATATGTACTTTCCCCAAATTTGGTCGTGATAAATTTGGATCACAAAATGATGCCTTGTCAACCCTGAGGAAGTAGTGGGAGGGATATTCTACTCTCACCAGAAACGCGAGCAGACGATGCATCGCTTCGTTTGTTCTGGGACGGCATTCCCATAGTTTTGCAAACTTTCGCTACTTCTCACTCATTCAGCGCGAGCGAGGAGGTGAAAAATATCACGAGAGGACATTAATCAGAATGTAACACCTGAGATTCTGGTGCAGAAAAATGAAGACTCTGTTGCGGAAAAATGAAGAAAGCCATAGGAGAATGTCTCAATGCTTTCAGACATTCTCTTGATTTCAACGCATGAGAGACTGATTATCACCAGCTCGCCTGCACATTCATTGTTTTTTCGTTACGGAGAGGACACTCTTCTACGAGAGGATTGCTTGCAGAAGCTTCAGGGCTGACGTCGTGCTCTCTCTCAGAATGTTTAACCCCCTTGGGTGCAACAAGACAGTACAAGTATTCACAAGTCGGAATTTGCCACTTTTGAATGTGGCCGCTTGACTTTATGCAATATTCGCCGCCATTTAAAAAAAAAAGTGATGCGCCCCGATTACCCCTGGGGCAATGCATACCATTTAAGAAATCACTGTATAGGGGAAAGATTGTCTTAAAATGCACTTTACTTTGAAAGTAGATACTATTTATAGTACTTTACTTTGAAAGTACATTGCACTTACTACTTTGCTTGAAGTAGAGCACCTTTCATTTACTTTGCACTTCAAGTACTTTTTAGATGTACTTTACCCAACACTGCTACACGGTCGATAGAAGCACACAAATGTGACAATTTGGAGGGGGCCGTGAATGACGTTTTTTTACCAGCGGCCTTCTTAATCTGGTCCGACAGGCTGTGCAAATAAGGAACTACCACCGATCGGGAGCCAGGTTTTCGAGTGTCCTTGTCTGGTGTACTAATGGCAAGTTTTAGAAGGGATGCACTCATGACCACATCTTTAGGAAAACTGAATTAATCTATTGACTTGAGTCCTATGGTGACAGGATTCCATTAATGATGCTCTCGGGCGAGACTGTGCAATGCCACGCTTAACAACCTTAGAGTGCATACCTGGTTACTCTCTAGTCGAATATATTGGTCCAAAAAGTTTTGGACCACTTTTTGGACTATTCTCACAGCAAGAGAGATCCATGAAGCTTACTACATTAGGAAGCACGGTCCAGACAATGTGACAGTGTAGAGTTGGTGACCATTTCTAGTGGAGAGTGTCAGTCCATTGAGGGTTTCCACCTGTTAATTTGAGGGCACATATCTGCATTTTGGGGGTGCTTTACATGGAATATTGTATTTTTGAGTTTTCTTCTTTGTTTTATTGTGCTCTGGTGCAGTGAAGAGAAAGTCAGTGCCGTCTTTCTTCCACTTGTTTTTTGCGCTGCTTTTTATTTGACTATGTACCGACTCACATAAGTGCAAACATTTTTAACCATAAGGGGCTCCTCATCGCTATCCCTATACCTTGAGTGATATGTTGTCTGGTAGCCTCCTTTCTCTTCAAAATTAATTTTTAAGCTTGCCCGGAATTTGCATTCCTTATTCCTCTAACCTTCGTTTTACTACCTGCATAGCTAATCTGTATAAAACTGATGTTACTGTTATCGGGTGGTACGACTGGATATTGTCACGGATGACAGATGATGAGGCGACGAATGAACAGTAACGCTTAATTTGGCAAACTTGTGCCGAAAACAAAAAATACAAAAAGGTAGCGTCGAAGGTCGGCGGAGTAGCACGATCGAGCGCAAGAGCAAGACTGCTTCCGGATCGCCACGCGGAGTACATTTTGTACCCGTGTGAATTTTCTGACGAGCATTCGTAGCTCGATCAGATGACAATGTTCTCGAACTTGTGAGAACGCCAAGTTGAAAGAATGAACGAAAGAACATTCGGCTCCCTGCAATTGAACCTGGAGTATCCGCGCAATAGCCAAGCGCGGTAACCATTCGGCCACGCATGTGCTCGCTCGGCGACGCGCGTGCCAATATTAGAGAGCTTTAGGGAACCAATTTTGGACAAACGATATGGACTGCGCATGCGCAAGGTCACTGCTGCCTTACCATGGTCCAGCGTCTGAACCGTAAGTTGTAATCGTCTGGTCAAATTGGCTGATATCAGAAGCGTCTCGACTCATTTATAGAACGGCTGTTTCGCTGTGGGAAGAGACTCGCCGAAGATTGAAACGTGAATGAAAGCATTCCTGGTTGTGCCTCTAAGAAATGTCCATGGTGAACGAGACACCTACGCTCTCTTAGTATCATGTTGTTCATTTGTCTCAGTTTGCGGGGATGTGGCATAGCTCAGTTGGGTGAAGCGTCGCTCTCCCATTTTGATAAAGGTGTCGACGACACGAGTTCAAACCCTGTCTGATGACGTTAGCGGTTGGGTGTCTTGTATTTGCAATGTGGAGCACAGATGAGCTACGTCAGCTTTGTGGAAGCAAGTTGGCGTAGCGCATTGTCTTCATCCAACGTCCCTAGTCTCGCCGACAACAATCTACTCCTTTACTCCTTCGTGTAAACACGATACCAAACACCAGTCGATTCATACATGAGGGTTCAGGTACAGGTCGAATGCTATTCAATGAATACTAGGCACGTGGAGTAATTGGCACACGAATTGGGTCACTGGCCACTAGGGCCAGCAAGTAAGCTTTAGAGCATGGACGTTGTTAACCTCTGTGGTGTCGGACCCTGCAGGCCTGATGACCAAGGAGGAGCGCCGGGTGTATGACTCCATCCCGGTGTCGCACGGCAAGTGGTGGGTGCCCGCCCAGTGGTTTGTGGCCCTGGCCGTGCGGGCACGCAAGGAGGGGCGCATCAAGGACGACATGCTGCTCAAGCACCTGCTCCAGGTGGGGCACTCCCCAGACACTCTCGTCTGGCGTGGCGGGGCTTTGATGGCTGATGGAGTTTGCAAGTTTCTTGGGCATTGCCGAGAAGAAATTTACAGCGTTCTTGGAGTGCAGCTTTTAAGCGTCCGTTTCCGGCTTGAGCGGCGTTGCATTATAGAATGTTTATTATGGGAACCATAATACATTATGGGACCCATAATGACGTCACACGTGACATCACGTGCGACGTCACGAGGGACATCACCAGGGTGGCGTCACACGGCGCCTAAATTTGGCGGGAAATTTCTCCACTAAAGTTAGCAGACAAATTTCTCCGCTAAATTTAGCGGGAAATCTCCACGCTGTTTTTAGGGGAAAGTTTTCCCGCTAAATTAAGCGGGCAAATTTTCCCGCTAACTTTAGCGGGGAAATTTACCGGGAAATTGTCTCACGATTTCCCTGTAAATTCCCGTCCATACCCTTCCCTCCTCCTCCTCAAGAGCTGCGCTCTAATTGGGCCTTAGAGAGAATTGTAAATGGCTTTTCACTGCAAAATTAAACTATGCTCTGCCAAACGCTCGTTCTCCACCCAAATCTAGTGCTAGTGGTCCGAACCAGATACCAAGATTTCAGAACTACAGTACCGTGTTTTCTGGACTATAGTCTGCAGGAAAAAATTTGGGGTCAAAGATACAAGTATTTGCTTCGATAGTCCGCACCCGGTACATAGTCCACACCCCGTGCATAGTCCGCACTTAGTGCCTAGTATCATACACAGCACACCTTGGCAAATGCCTACTGTATTAGCTCACCAAGAAGCTTTATCGTACAGAAATCATGATTAATATAGTCCATTACTCATAAAATCCTTCACGACTTGTCACAGTGAACGACCTAGAAAAAGCAAATCATTGTATAGTCCGCACCTTTAGATGGCGTGCATTGGGTGAATCTTCTACTTGTAAACGTGTATAGTCCGGAAAATACAGTAACCAATACCCGAGTGGAAAGTTATAAGTGATTTCCTGAAAATTTCAACGAGAAAATGAACCCGTTGTTGCCCATTTTCGGGAACTAGCGTCATTCAGCTCCATGTATTTGAGAGCTTCATTGGCCACCATTTTCCCATAGAAAATTTCAGAAAATCACTTATAATTCTTGAATGAGGTAACAGTTAGCTTGGGAAACATGTGGTTCGGGTCGCTATACTGTTTCACTTTAAAGGGCCCCTGAAAAGAAAAAAAAATGCCTCTTTTAAACAGTCTACTTAGGACACGCGTGTCAAAAATAAATTTTACGCAAAAAAAAATATTTTTTTTTTGGAGCAATATTGACGGCGCGAGATGCGATTTAGTTGGCAGTCACCTCCTTTCCACTCGTTTTTTCTCTCGGCATTCGGGGCACGTGGAGGGGAGGTGGATCGGCTTTGCCTTCACGTTGAGGCGGAAAGAGCGAATTACCATCTCGTTGAGCTGGTAACGCGCAGAATTTCAAATAAGTCTCTCACCGTCAATATTGCTCTAAACATTTTTTTTTTTTTTTTTTCGTGTAAAGGTTATTTTTTGACACGCGTGTCACAACCGAGTCTAAAAATAAACAGTTTTGTTCTTTTCAGGGGCCCATTAAGGAAACAAAAACATTAGCTTTCTTATTTATTGACAGAATATTGACACGGGGTGTGACCAAAAGAGCAATAAATCAGCAGGAAGAAATAAACGTTTAATGGGGCGAACTTGTGCCCAAAAACAGAATAGAAAAAGAATAGCGTCGCAGGGATCGATGGCGTCAAAACAGCAGGATCAAACGCTGGGGCGAGACTGACCCCGGCTGGTTACGCTGACCCCCTTTTGTACACGCGTGGGCTTCTGGAACAGTTGGCGTAGAAGGACCGGCGTGTAGAACATTCTAAACTCGAATCAGCAACACGGTTTTCGAATTTACCAGAACATTACATTAGAGTCAACAAGAATGCGTACCCGCGGTCAGGAATCTAACTCTGGTTTTCTGCGTGGAAGGCAGGCGCGATAACTGTTAGGCCACGAGCGCGCTGCCTACTTAGTCAGCTGCGCTCACGGCAATATGATGAAAATCACTGTGTTTCACCTCCTTGATATCAAAGATGCCATTATATCTTGAGTATCTCAATTAGTTTTCGAGTTACAAAAAAATAATTGTGCATAATCAGATAATTTCTTATAAGCCGTTAAGGCCCTTTCTAATTTAAATTTTATTTTGCGAGTGATATGAATTTGTAGGTAAAGACTTGCCATGCATTATAAAACCATTTATATTCCTGTAAAAATAGTTCATTTGATCAAAGAATCTAATTATGTGAAATCGAAACCATAAAATTTGATTGGATACCAAATAGCTTTACTCCCTAGTTCAGCTCCTTCTGAATTCAGCGCTATAATATTCACCGATACAGCGTAACAAAAAGTCCATGAAAGCCGCCATAAGGCTAAGCACATTGACGAAAACAGGAAGCTGAGAAAATCGCAGTTCAAGTTTTGACACTGTGTAAGAAATCCCTTATAGTAATTACTATGTAGGGTAGCCTTTCTTGAAGAAATTGAGATAAAAAGTTAAATATTCTGTTTGGGGGAACATTACAAAAAGAATGCAAGATATGCGAGGAATCGGTAAAGCGTTGAGAAAATCCCATTTTTCTGTTTTGACACCGACTGCAGAGCATCATACAAAGAACTCTATGCAAGAATTATAACAAGATGTAGTGTAGTTGTGTCTCAACAAATTGAGATAAAAAGTGTGATATTCTGTTTGGGAACATTACAAAAAATAGTAAAGAATGACTGAATAAAAAATTGCTTGTAAAGTAATGAATCGACAATGGACAATGGGAGGCGTCAGCAAGAACTTGACGCTTCGAATGCAATTTTGTTGGGCCCTAATAAGGACCTTTGTTTTGTGTGCCACTGAAAAGTGCCCTAGAGCTGTCCGGGACTGTAGTCTGTTTCTGCCTTGTGTCGCTTGGAGATTGCTGCTGCTGCTGCATGCTGGTGTGTAGCGTTGGCCTTGCGCAAGTGAAGGCAGTCCTTCTCGATGCTCCGACGCATGAGGCAGTCACCGGTGTTATAGCTAGGGTGTGTACTTTCCGGTGTTTATTTGTGAGAAAAATCGGCGGATGTTTTTCGGTGTTTATTTATTTTCAAAACACCGGTGTATTTCGGTGGAACGTCTCACGACGAGGCTAAAAACGGTGATTATCGGTGAAAAAAAAAGCGATTGATCACAGACAGAGAGTTCCAATTTTATTCACATAGTTCATACACTTCTTCTCTAGGAAGCAACTATTTCTCACACTTGGTAATTATAGTAGATGCAAGCATACTTTCATGCTTGCATCTACACGCAAGGAACGTGCTGCCGTCATGGCAGCGCGTTCCTTGAGTTAGCAACCCGCAATTAAGAAAACGCACGCTCCTATACGACACGGACGTTGGCAGTGTCTTCCAGGAACCACAGCAACCTCTGAATACATGGCTTGCACCGACATCACTTGGCCAGACACAATGTGGAAAAGGCACGTGAGAGCCTACCCTCCACCGTGTTAATTTTCCACAAAAGGGCGCCATGGGAGACACAACAGGGGAAAGGCGCATGAGAGCTTAGCTTCCACTGCGTTCACCAGACGCTTTTGACCCCCAGAAAGGAGGGTGGACTGACGCCACCTGCAAGCCATGTATAAACACTGGAAGAATGCAGGATCTACGAGATAACACGTTTGACGAACCTCTACGGGGAAAGGGTTTCGCTGGGTCGGAAACTAGCAACGACCGGTGTTTTTCGGTTTTAACCAGGGCGAAAATATCCAACCACCGGTGTTTTTCGGTTTCACCCGATTTTATATTTTCGTCACCGACGAATGTTTATCGGTGTTTTTCGGTTAAAACCGGAAAATGCACACCCTAGTTATAGCCCAAGCTTGCGGCGATGGAGTCGGTGGTTGCCCTCCTTCCCCGATTGTAGATGGCAACAGCTTCAGCCCTCTTCACACTGTCCAGGGACGCATTTGCGTTCTTCGATGTCCGTGTCCAGATCACCGAGTGCAAGCTCTTGCTGACATTTTGTGTCTTTTCCTCACTGCACCATGCCAGCAGGTCTTCACTGCTGAGCCTCTCAAGCACTGGCTGAAGTGCAGCCTGAACACAATCCGGAGGAGGACCCTTGTGTGGTGGAGAGGGCTGACCATTTGCCAAGGTTGTACTCGCACCAAGACTCGGCTCTGTCTGGGCACTTCCCATGGTTCGGGGCACTGTCCGTAGACGTCGTGTGCAGGAGGGTGGCTTCCGCTGCTTTCTTCATTCCCGGAACATCATGGCTGCAGCTCCAGAGGGCATAGCCATAGTAGTTTTGCATCTTCTTGATCTTATCCTGCATAAGCTTGCCCTTTCCACCGAGTGCTTTGCCTTGAGCTTTTTTTCTTCTTCACGAGGGTGCGCAATGCAGCCCCCGTCCACTTGTGGACGTGGTTGATAGTCCTTTTGTCGATCTTGATGAAAGTGTACACCTTGGCTTCGGACAAATCATGAAATGTCCAAGTGTCTCCATCCGAAAGGACGGTGGTGTACCGTAGTCCATTCTTGGCTGGGGGCCTCTGGAACGTTGTTAGCGCAGCCTCCACATCCACTCGGCCAGTATTACATTCAACGTTCCTCTGGCAGTCAAGGCCTGCATACCAGTCACTGTAGCCTGTGTCTTGTGGATTTGGTCCCAGGGCACATCCAAGACAAGTTTGACTAGACCACGTGATTGATGACGAGGCCGGTGTACAGTTTACCGATTGATCATACTCCCTTCATGGCCTTCATGTTGACTTGGAACTCTAGAAGACGAAAACTGCTTTTTCAGGAGGTTACAGGTCCTGCAGCTGAACAGAAGCTTCACTGCCGTATTCTTTATCTGCCGCCTTGCTGAATGTTGGGGTTCCCGCACAGCAGCTTCCACACTTGGCTTGCGCAAGAAAGTCGTTCGGGACTTTCATGTCGACGAGAATGAACTGAGTCCCGGCATCGTTCATCTGGCATGGTGCATTATTTCCAAGGAGATTGAACTTCCGCGGGGTCGCCGAATTTGCCAACAAGAGGCGCTTGTTTTGCTCCGGTCGACCAGCATGTTGCGCCTGCTCGGCGGGAGAGTAGTATGCGGCGTTGACGCGAACCGCTTGGCAAAGCTCGAGGAGTCCGTGCCAGAACTTGGTCCCATCAGGTCCGGCGAGTCCGACAGTGGTCAAGATAGTTGCGGTGCACGTGCGGACGACGTCTTCAGTTTCTTGTTCCGGGCATATTGTCTCTTCCGTACGAACAGTCGCCGCATTCTTTCTTTGAATCAAGCGTCCCCCAGCATTTGAATCTCTCCAAGCTTTTGAAACTGTAGACTTTATTCAGCCCAAATATAAGGTTTGTGAAAACTGCAAAATTTCACGTTTTTTTTACCATTTCAAGACGCGTCTCCCCTCTTAAAAAGACACTCACACCTCCCAAAACCTTTTTCTTTATTTGTTACTTGGCGGTTTATTATGGTGTCACAAGAGTGCCCAATCAATATTTCGCTAATGCGTCACATATTTTTTTAATCAAGTGAAAAAGCTCAAGAAGAAATATAGAAGAGGAGAGTTACCGAAAGTCACGTGGCTGTGCACCTTTTTTTTTAATCAACGTATCTGCAGCTTTTTAGAAGCTACAAAAGATGGGTATCTATTTTTTTAAATAATTTTAGTATTGAGTGTGCACTTCCAATGACCCACGACTTTGATTATCTTTGGTGGTTGTGTCTAAACCATAAAAATATGACACATGACCAAGGAAAAGAAATGAGCACAACACAAACCGGCCAGTTCTCGATCGGCGGTTTTCGGGCGGAAAGAAAACGAATTTCGAGCCGGAAATTGTTTTCTGGGTAGTTGGGTTCTCATATGTCACGTCTGAATAAAACAAGCTTGGTGAGCATAAATACCCTGTCAGTGTCCCTTTAAGCGTGAGCGTAGCAGAAGTTACAAAGGCAAGCTCCGGGCTTTGAGCGTCCCTGTCGAGCGCTTGTGCAGTGCAAGCACAGGGCCCCAAGCTCGTGCTCGTAGTATCAGCTGCACCTGGACTCAAGCTGAAACCAGGTGCGCTACATTTGGGCGGAGAATAAGCATTTAACAATGAGCAGTTTACTTTTGCAGTAACGAAGAAGTTTTTTGGAGGGCACCCTGTAGTTTGTGCCATTTGAGAATTCATGTTTCTCAGCTGTCTGGGCGTGTTTTGGAGGGTCGGCTAAAGCACTCGAGCTCGGAATTGAGTGCGTTATGGGTGCTTTGAGGTGATATCAAAGTGAAGTGGAGTTTCTAGGCTCAGGCTTTGCTTCCTCGCCTCTACAGGGCACATTCGCTGCCATTAGGAACTTTGTTTTAATGCTGCATGGTAAACGGGCCATGAAGAATTGTTAGCCTAGAGCAAAGGTTGCCCTCGACTATGCGTACAATGATCTGAGCTCCTCGGCAGTGTCTGTGGAGTTTGTCGAGCTGGACCCTTTCCTGCGCACAGGAGATGCACGAGTTCCGGGGCTGCTGCGGCATGCTGTTCAGCTACGACTGGATCAGCATCCCGCTGGTGTACACCCAGGTGGTAACGCTGGCCATCTACACCTACTTTCTGGCCACTGTCATGGGACGCCAGTACCTGCGCTCCTCCGGGGAGGACCGCGAGATTGACCTCTACATCCCGGTCTTCACAATGCTCCAGTTCTTCTTCTACATGGGCTGGCTCAAGGTGGGTCCACAGGGCCGTCCTGCTATCCTACTTTTTGTGGCATCTCCCGCAAAATCATTTGTTTCTTTGGGTGCAATGTACATTGAGTGCGACCAGGGGAGTTTCCGGAAAGGAGACCGACGGTTCTTTTTAGGCGCTCGTGGTGTCCACAGATGTGGCCTTGATAGAGCGTGCTCTCACCGACTGCAATCTGCTCTCAGGGTGGGGACTTTCCCCGCTGTGGCAGCGGCGCAGGAGCAACACGGCTGGCAATGCAAAGGGGGAGGAGCGAGTGATGCGGCTGCAAGATGAGAGGATTTTCTAGAGCAGTGTGCAACGACAGACTTTGGGAAATGACAAACCCAATTTTTTCTGTCCTTTGGAATTTTATCTTTCGTTGTAGTCTCGATAATAGACTTGCACAGCCACACTCTATACTCCGTCTCACTAAAACGGTGCAGTACATCCAAAGCTACAAGCGAATCTGGGCCTGTTCAAGAGGGAAAGCCCTTCTCTCTTCTTGAGCAGGTTGGCATACGCTCTCTCCCCTGCAGCTTTGGCTGTACTGCACCGTTTTAGTGAGATGAATTATGGCGGCGCTCTCAGCTGGGGTGCACGTAGCACCAAGAATGACCAGTGAAGAATACATTTAATCAAGTTGTCTTCGTGTAAATTTTACCCCCCCCCCCCCCTGCTTAGCAATTTTCCCGAATTTGGTTTCTCCCAGCTTGGCAGGTATAAATGAGTATAGAAAGACAATAGGCATGCTGAGTGTACTTTAAGAAACCATTGAGTATTGGAACTTTCTTCTTCGTGATATAACTAAAATGGACTCTAAGCCAATTTGAAAATAACCTGCTCGCCTGCATAGCATCGTATAGTGCAGGTTAGACTTTATACTCTACTTATTTTTTGCTGTTTTACACAGATCGTATTGAGCTTTTTGTGCTTTAATTGTGAGTTGTGAACAGTGTGGTCGTGCTTGGTTAAATGTGCGCTAAACAATATTTTTTTTTTTTTTAACATTCTTGCGGGGTATGTTTAATTAAGCTTTTGTGCATGTGGCCAAAACATTGGCTTAATACATATATTTTGTTTCCTATCGTATTGAGTGCTAAAACTCCACCCTGTATCGACCCTTCTTGGCTGATAGTATCAATAAACGAACAAACAAATGTGCAAGTAAATAAAATATTAGTTTGCAATTAGGCGAACCTGATTTTCTCGAGTTGTGGTACAAGGGGAAGTAAATGAAAGCAAATTCTTAAGCGTGTGGTGCGAGTTGCTGCATGTTGAAATGGCTGCACAGAATGATTTCAGAAGCATCCAAACTTTGTCATTCTGCTTCCCAGAAAAGCCTTTTTCACGATTTTGGCCATGGCACTATAAACGCAAAATGTTTTCCCACTTGGACCACGCCGTAGTGGCGGTTTGGATGATATCGCGATACCCGTACCCCACTCCCGCTGTCTGGACGATTGGGAGAGCCAGGAGATTTCGGAGGTTACAAGTATAGCAACCCGTCGTTCTCTGCCCCAACAGGTGGCTGAACAACTCATCAATCCTTTCGGAGAGGACGACGATGACTTCGAGCTTAACTGGTGCCTTGACCGCAACCTGCAGGTGAGCTCAGAGGCTGGTTCACACATTTGTTGTGTTGAGTGCGTCTTCTCTATTGACTGAACAGAGGGTCCATCTTGGACCATGAATGCGGAGGTTGGTCCCGTGGCGAGAAAGAAAGCAGGTGTAAATGCATCATGCTTTGGGGACCTCCTCACAGCTCGTATTGCGAATGCGGCCCATAAACCATTTGCGAGATAATACCGTATTTACTCACATAATGAACGCTCCCCCCCAGCAAATACACATATTTAAACTTTTTCTTTCTCCTTGCGTAATGAATGCACCTCCAATTTTCGGTTCTGCGAGTCTCAAATTACGTTAGCTAGCCACCAAGCCCACCAAGCCAGTTTTCTTTTGCCGCCAAGCGGTCGGGACAAGTCGAGCCAAGCGAAGCCGCTCTCGTAATGGCCAAAAGTGTGTAGTTGTGGTAGTTGCAGAAGTGATCAACCGTGAAACTGATCGGCACGCACACTTGACGAGGCTTGGGTCGAGGAATTTCTCAGCCCCGGACATTCTTCGCGCGCTTTTCCTTCGGCAAAAGGCACGCCGAAAGTGCCCTAAAAAGGTTCACAATTTACAAAGCAATTTATTGTTTGTAAATTTATTGTGGCGCACCCACAACCAGCCATCGGTGCACCTCCATCAGTGGAGACGTGCCACAGTGTCTTGCCGTGTCATATTAGCACCTAATATGACATTTGCACTCAGTGTGTAAATGCAAAAACTTTACGATGCCTGCTCCGATTTCCATAAGCCTTGGGGGATCGGTGGCCGAGTGGGCTAGCGCACATCAGCTCGGAGCATGTGGAGCGAAAGCTCGCGCTGCAGAACCGAGGATCCTGCGCTGAATCCCCACCCCTGCCCGTTTTGATCTGGATGAGTATCGTACCAGTGTGCAGTCGTGTATCGCTACTGCGTGATGCACGTTGAAGACCCCAGGTTAGCAGTCGTACTGCACTGGCGACATTGCTCATCTACAGCTGGGAGACTCGTCACCTGTTTGGGGCAGACCAAGTTCTAGGCTGTATAAACATACACACAACTTAATATTTTTTATTTTTTTTTTTCCCCATAAGTCTTGCACTTTGTCAAACTGTTCCTGTTCTTGTTCTCGGGCCCGGAATAGTTCGACAACCTTTGCGTACGACGAGTTCTCGTAGATGAATTACATTCTGCTGCAATTTTCTATCTTTGGTGCCCAGGATTATATGACTCCAAAGCATTCTTTCTTTTAAGGTATCGAACTCGCGATCACTCGCGAGCAACCAAAGCTTACTCGTTGAAGGATTCCCCTTTTCGCTGGTCGTGTTTCCGAAACAAAACTCATTGTATGTCAAGTCAGCATTGGACTGGTAGTATTTCTCAAACTTCTCCGTGAGAACTTTCTAATCCCCCTCATCTTCACCCTCTTGAAAGTCAGAAATAGAGTACTCTTTACGTGCATCTTCATCCATGGTTATCAAGAACGTGGCTGCTTCTACTGCTTTAGGCTTTGTTGTTAGCATTGGTGAGCTTGAAAAGAGCTCAAACTTACTTTTCTCTGTGCACCAGTCCTGCCATAGGTGTGTAGATTGGTTTCGGTGGTGGGAGTAGTGATGACGCCTTGAAGCTTTTGGTCTGGTTGTCCTCTGGACATTCTTCAGATGGGTAGTTTGGCCACCTCTGACACCATGTCAACTGCTGCCAGTTGTGGAGCAAACAACGTTCATTCAGATGAAGTGCATATTTACACGCTTGCCAATGCGACGTCCCTAGACACGTGAGTGGAGCCATGGTAGATAACAAGGTTCCGTAAGCCAGGCTCGTGACAGATATGTTCTGCGCCTCAGAGATGAAACGTGGCTATATACCGTAAAATACCGGGCAAGCGCCCACTCAAAATTTAGAGATAATCGCAAAAAAATGGGGGATGGGTGCTTGTCCGGTCATCAATTTTACATATCAATGTACTGTGCATATATTCTCAGATGTTACAAATTTGGGTATGGGCACTTAGTGTGGTATGGGCGGATGCACGGTATTCTACGGTAGGAGCTTGAATCAAGCGATATAAACTCGTCCACAGCTTTCACTGTTGCCGTCATCCAAAAAACAATTGGCAAAAGCAGCGTGCGATTAAGGCCCTCTTTGTAGTGGTCCCCAAAGCCAGCAGAACACCACGTTTTACGAGTTCCACTGCCACGCGGAGATTTCTTTGCGCTCAGGAGAAAGCGCAAAATGAAATTGAGTTCTTTGGCTATCCATGAGATGATGCAACGTGTTCCTGCACGCCAAATTTGAATTGTGGCGGCGTGCAGAAAACGTGGATCATCAATGGACTATGGTGCAGAGAGAGATGAGTAGTGCGTATGCTAAGAGCTGGTAAAAAAGGTGGCTGCTTGTGGACTCTGAGCAGAGGGCAGAAAATTGAAGGGAGGGTCCCGCCCCAGGTGTCGTTCCAGATTGTGGACGACATGCACCAGCGGCACCCGCGCCTGGTGCGGGACATCTACTGGGACGAGGCGGAGCCGCAGCTGCCCTACACCAAGTCGTCGGTGAACCTGCGCACACAGCCGCATCTCGGCTCTGCCATGACGCTCGAGTGAGTACCCTCGGGCTCCTTTGAGCGGAGCAAGCTCGCTTTAAGGTGTGCCTTTGTGTTTCCTGAAACGTGAGGCAAAGCTGCGAGCATGGGGTGCGCGTTTAGGGTTCGGATAAAAATTCCCACAGAGCCGAGTCCAAGGTTTTCATCCGTCATTTGGTTGTGGCCGCAACTGCAATCGAAACAGAAGCTTCACTAAAATTATGCTGGCACTTCCAGTCCCTGCAGTGTAAAGAAGGCAACCCCCCAACAGTAGCCCCGAGTGAATACGAATGTTCTCCAAGCCTGTCATTTAGACGGCGGCCCGTCCATCCAATGTGGACATTGCCATATGATAAGGGGATCTTATAAAAACCATGCCAGACACAAATGGTACTATGTGCTCTTCAGTGCATTTCCTTTTCGACCGCTTTTCGGCAGTAGCACCGACACTCGCGCATATTTGACCCTTTTCTGTAGGGCAGAAAACACCAGCGGGACACCATAGCAACCTCCGACTTGCTTAAGGCTACGAGATGCCCGATGAAGATAGGGCACAGACACCATTCTTTTTTTGTCGAAATCAGTCTTCATCCTCTCCGTCCCTTTAGCTTTTTTCATAAAGGAGCTAGCCACCTCCGCCAAAAGGACAGATGGAAACCCTGACGACTTCAGTCTTTTAACCTGCCTGTTAAAACTGTCCTTCATCAAGTGGACGCACAACCTCTTTAGGACGGAACCAAGACAAGAGACTGCAAGGCTGCTTTTTACCAATCGCGAGTCGTATGACCTATAGTCCAGAAAGGCCTTTTCTGTGCATGGTCTGAACGTCCAACAAACAGTTTTTCTTCTAAGGAATTGTAGAACCCCTTTGTTGGGCTCTTCAAACGTAAACCTGAGCCCCCCCACCACAGTTCTCAAAAATAGAAAGTATCTTAGCCTGTGTGTCAACCCCTTCAGCGCCCTGAAATACAACCAAAAAGTCGTCCACATACAGTAAAACCTCGTTATTCGCGACTCCAGCGACCTATAGGGGGCGCCACCGCCAAACAAACATGGCGGCTGAGTCCAGGTCGCGGCGGCTCGGCCGGGCCGCCTGAACAGGTGGCGCGTTCAATTTAACATATTTTCTTTTGTTTAATGCCCAATTTTACAGGTATTTGAACTGAGACGGTTAAGTGTAGCCGGTGCAGATAAACTTGCAAAGCATAGCTTTGTTTTGCCGGTGTTTTTTTGTTCTTTTCGTGTCAAACTTTCGTTTCGGAGATTTCGTTCAAAACCGAAACTATGGGCTACGGAGAGACGGTAATATACTAATCAGTTTTGATCATCTAAGGAAAGCGGCGATGACTATAGAATTGTTCCACAGAGAGTAACTTTTCAGCTAACTCGCATACCTCGACCATGCGACTTATCTGTCCGCGAAATCGAACTTTTGTGCGTATCCGCGTTACGAAACAGCTCCAGTCGTCTGCTCGGCCAACAACACAGGCTGCAGGAAAATTACGAAAATTAAGCAACCGCTTCTTGAGCCAAGGACCATGTTAACCCGCCGGCGCCCCACTAAGCAGCTGATACTCGTATTTCAATTCAGGTTTTAGTAGCAATCAAGAAGTCATTTTGACGAGCGGGTTATGTTATATTACGTACTATGGGGGGGGTCCCACTAAAGCGATATTAGTATATCCTTCGGGTTGAAATATGAGCTTAGTTGACTAGCTATTAGGTGACCTGCTGAATAAAAGTATATTTGACAGTCGGAGACGTACTACTTAAACTTAGCCAAATGATTCTATAGCCGGCAGCACGGAGACAAACCGAAGAGAGTCCTCATTGAAGATCCACGCAGAACCTCTCTGCATTTAACTTTGCTTCGAACCCTGAACAGAGAAATTTAGTATTTTTTTTGTGGCCGGTCCACCTGACCAATGTAGACGTATATTGCTGCTGGCTTCGACGTCCTCGTAATATAAATATTTGGGGCGCGATAGGTCAAAATGCCGTGACAGCATCTAACGTTGCGAGACCTGTCTCCCACCTTATGAAAACAGATAATTTCCCTCATTCATCATTTGAAAACAGATAATTTCCCTCATTCATCATTTGCAGCGAGCAAGTTTTCCTGAATCAAGTAATTGCGAAATCAGCCCAACTCCTTCAGTGTAGTCCAGAGGCTTTTTCGGCGAAAAGCAGCCAAGATGAATAGCCAACGCACCGACCGGCGTGGGTGGCTCAAACTTGAAGCTAACCGAACACAACCAAACTCAAGAAAAGCAGCTATCGAACCATCCCATTCACTTGACTGCAACATTGATGTTCCCACCAGTATCAGTTACCAAGCAGTCGTCACTTTGAATGTGATTCGAGACAGACAAGAAATCAAAAATTTTTTTCCGTGATTCCTCCCCATCCAAGAAATCGAAAGCACGCGACCGAGTGCCGTAAAGTAAACGGGCTTTCAAACACGTAATAGAAGAAAACAATCTACTGAAGCTTCACCACACTAATGATCACTCAGGCAAACTTAAGAAATATTCGGACCTTCGTCAAATTACATTGTTCGCCACCGCGCCGACAACACGTATCCGCGAAAGCCACCAGAGACGCGGAGGGGCGGGGAGCGACCTGGACCGGCTGGTTCCCGGTTTTCCCGCTTGGCGGCGTCCGTTTTGCTGGAGTCGCGAATAACAAAGTTGAAGGAGCGGTCGTAATTATTTCGTTATAACCATTAGTTTGTTATAGCCAATGTCCATTTCTTCCCACTATTAGTAAGCAAGGGGAATTATAATTGCTTTGTTATTTCCATTAGTTTGTTATATCCCATTTTGTTATAACGAGGTTTTACTGTAGCACTTTTTTTGACTGTGGACGCTGCAAAAGCACTTTTGACACTTGTATCCACTTCGCCTAGATGTCACTAAGCATTGGGGCCACACAGGACCCAATGCAGATTCCCGGTTTTTGTAGACTGAGCACTGTCAAACGCCACTAGGCCTAGTGTCGTTTGACAGTGCTCAGTCTAAGTTCATTAAAAGGGGAATCGCTATAACCTGCCTCCAGGCAGCATTTGCAAAAAGTTGTAGTCACCAAATGTCGACTAGCTTTGATATACAGATTAAAAGGCTACGGAATGCAGGGTTCCCTTCATGGCTGATTTCTAGTGTGTGTGAAAGCCTGCTTCAAAAAATCAAACAAAAGAACCAACAGAATGGCAGTATCACAAAAAGAGAGTGCATGTCATTCCATACATGCACAAAGTTTCACACAACATAAAAAAGATTGCCAGCAGATACAATGGTAACATTGTTTTTTCTGCGCACTGCAAACTGGCTAAGATTTGTCCGACGATGACTAGAAAAAAGAAAGTTCTGTGCTCCAAGAAGCATGCAAGCCAATATACAGACTGTGTCACTAACGTCATCTATGAAATACCGCTTAGTTGCGGGAAAGTTTATATAGGACAAACAGGACGCTGTTTCAATGACAGGGCAAGAGAGCACAAACTATCTGTACGCAACCTGTCGGGGGATCATCTGTCGGAGCATTGCAAGCATTGTGGTTGCGAGCCGATTTTGGAGTCAACAACGTTCTTGAAAAAAGCGAAAGAAAAAACAGAGTGAGAGATTATAGAGGCTTTCTTTATTAAAAAGAAGAATGACAAGTGCATCAGTGCGCAATCTGTTAGCCTACTAGATAAAGAAGTGACCTATCTCGAGGGGTGTTTGTAAGGTGTTTTATTGGCCGTTGGCGTTGTTTGAAATGTTAACGGTGGACGAGTTGTCTATAAAAGCGATGAACGGTCTTCCAATAAAATCAGATGAGAGTAGCGCCTTGTCCCTGTCGCTTGTGTTATTTTCTATTGTCCCTGTCTGTTTGCGCTTTTAAACCTACCATGGACCAACTAGCCCAAACCAAAGTTTTAATGTGACAAAGGATCCCTCTTTATCATACTCTAACAGACGCAACCCTAGTTTTAGATTATGTGAGCTCCGAAGCTTGTGATCGTAGGGAGGGGCGAGGAACCGAAGGTGGTTCTAAATTCTGTAAGCTCGAAAGCTCGTTATTGCAGGGTGCGGCATAAACATTTCAGCAGCGGTCTGCCTGGTAAGGGGGACTTGAAAACTTCTTATAGAAGGTCCCGACGTTTCAGGAGCGACTTTTTAAAGATAGGGAATTTGTTTTCTTCTACAGCGATGGTCTTTAAATGGAAATGTGCCAGTGGATCCCCAGGGTGCATTGGTGGCGTACACCAGCTCGCGCTGTAGAACCGATCTACGGTGGGATGTCGCCATGTTCTAGCAGACTAAATAACTAGCAACTCTCATCCTGGTGATGTCTGGATGTGCAAAAAGTGGTTGGCGGGAGTCGGGGAAGTGCATGGGGTTTGCTCCCGAGTCTGACGAGGACTCCCAGCCCTCAGTGGCCCCTGTACCTTCCCCATTGCACAGTGTGGACCCCGAGGAGGCGGAGTTTGTGCCCATGGAGACCATCATGGAGGAGGACCACGACGACCACAAGTACACCAGCCCCCCCACCTCGCCTCCCGTCGTGGAGGCACTTGGCCTCGGACACCTCCTGCTCCAGCCGGAGCCAGCCGGCCCGCACGACTGGGCACGGTCAGTTGCACCCCAGGTCCCGGCAGGGAATTCTGCCGGTTCACATCCTAGCAAAGTTTGTCGCCACGAGCGCCGCTCATCCACGGGGGGCTCAAGAAAGTGAAACGGAAATTACGAAAGATAATCTGCAAAGGACATCTTTTTAACGCGGGCGTAGCAGTCTTGATGCGGCAATTATTCGGAAATAATGGGACGTCTCGGATGCTTTGTCTTTTTCCCAGTGGGGTTTTATAATAATAACAGTAAATCTTTATTTGATGTGTCCGAAAACAGCCACAGTGGTCTTCACTTTGGTCCACACAATAAAAAAGGAAAAACCGAGTGAACAAGCATAGGTGATCAAGGCCAAGATAACATAAAATTGACCAGTGTCATGCAACATCATTTTTGCAGTTTCAAAAGGGTATTGGCGGACATTTTGCCCCTTAGGTTAGATCTTGTCGGACTAGTAGTTGTTTGGCCTTTAAGCTCTAAAAGGTAAATAAAAATGGAAATTAGTTGAGAATGGTCTATGTACAGTTGGCCAGAACGTTTACGGATCATGCGAGCCGTGGCTGAGCTGCGTTACCTTGCGGTGCTTGTTGTCGAGACACATAGTGCGCACATTCTTTGGCACTCATGCCAACCATCCCACTTTCGGGCACCTCACGCCACAGCTGTATCTCGGCGACGAGTGGCATCTTCTGCTGTTCAGCACGGTATCCTCTTGCCCCAGAAAAGTCTTCTTACCTCAGTGGTGGGACTTCGAAAGCTCAGTGGTAGACAATTTCCTTTACTGCATCGCAGCCCGGTATTTTATATCTTTTATCTCGAATTTGTTGCAGCAAAAGGTAGCCCTGCCAACTCCAGGGTTCCCCTGAGTTTTCCCCGAGAATTTGCCCAGTCCTTGTAGGTCTTTAAGATTGATGCACACCATGGCTTGTACGCGCAGTGCCCCGCCCACCTCGGACAACCAGACGCAGACCGGGCTGCGCCGCACGGGCAGCCGCCTGCTCAACCTCATCATGGGCAACAGCAGCGACAGCTTGCCACAGACGCCCAAGGCCAAGGAAGGGCAGCCCCTGGTGCCCCACTTCGTCGTGCGCCAACCCTCCAACCGGCGCTCGTCCCGCACGGTCTCTCTGGCCGAAGGGCTCGACCACCGCAGCGACTTTGCCGCCGAGGAGCGCAAGTCGCTGCTCCGCGAGGACGCGGCGCTCAGGGCAGCCGAGGCAGAGTCCATCGTGGTGGACCTGGTGCCGACGGACGACGCCGGCAGCCGCCCCGCCGAGCAGGACAAAAAGGCGGAGCAAGAGGCGGAGCCGTCGCCCTACGAACCCAACTCGTCCACCGAGAGTCTGGTCCCGGACAGCCAGTGCAGCGGCGACAGTTACACCCAGCTCATCTCCAAGTAGGCTCTTCTGCCGACGGACCTTTGTGGGGTGGACACGTTGCCTCAGCTGGTTCCATTTTTGTTCCTGGGAGTGGCAGACCTGCTCGTTCTGCGGCCGGGCAGTTGCCCCTTGCCTCCTGCGACGAAGTTCGTTTCCACTTTGGGACCATTTTTGACGCACGGGCAGATGCTAAACGCACCAGTCCGGAATTGTGCGCTACGACACGTCGAAAAGGTTGCGTCCAAATTCGGCCCCCGTCGACATCCTTGGAGCGTTTTGGTAATCCGGAGCCTCAACAGACTGTTCTGGTTTCACATGGAAATGTCGACGGCGTGCAAGCTGTTAAAAGTGAGCGACCCCTGAACTTGGGGTGAGAGGTCTGGGAAGGGTTATGTTTGTGCGAGTGTGTGGTGGCCAGTGACAAGTTCCACCGACTTGGAGCGAAGAAGCGTGGATGTGCCGACGTGGTGCTCGTGGAGCGTGTACCCGGGTTCCCCAGTGTCAGTCCCCCATATACAGGGCCCCCCAGTTAGATCACATTCCGAGATGAGCTGCCAGAGCCATCCGCAGCAGAGTGCATCCTATTTATACCGCAAGTGCTGACCAGCGTGGAACTTAGGGGAGCCCACTGAGCAGTCGGGCGCGAGGTAATCTCAACGCTCGCAATTTTCGGAATATGAGGCCCAACGGGAAGAATGTGCACGTTGGGTCGGTCCGGTGTTGGCTACTCTCGCGAGCCACTTTGCAAGTCCGCATGTTTGCGGGCAAAGCTTTCCCGGTCTCTCGGGAAGTTCCTATCATCCGCAGTCGCAAGCCCAGCTTGCGTGTGGGCAACGCTGTGCCCCGAGTGAACGCTTATTTGCATTTCGTTGTCCCTGTGATCTTTTTTCGTTGTTTCCATCGCGATGGATCTTTTACATCCAGTTATTTGTGCGAGCCTGGTCGGTTTCTTTGAGCTCGAAAGGTTGTTAGGTCGAGGAACAATGCGTACAGGGTCGCATGTTCGGTTCGTTTGTACAGGGAGATATGTCGAGATTGCATCTCATTTTTATCATTGCGAAGCTGTTACTGCGACTCCTCCCAAACACAGACACAAGGTGGTGTAGCCTCAAGCGACGTTAACTGACGAGTAATCTGAAACTAAAAAGAGCCCGTCACCGTTTCAACGGTCGTTTATAGGCAAGTTCGCACCCCATTCCTTAACCCCTGTATGCACGTGGAACATTGCATAGTGGGATAGCAATTTTCTACACTCAAACTATTTTTTGGCAAACAGCCTCATAAGGAGTCGGATGACTTTTGGAAACGGGTACGAGGGTTGCACTGAAGGCTAGCCATTGTTCCTGCAGAAAGCATACTAGGTGGTTGAGACTAGTGTTGACAGAAACCTTACGTAATATAAGCCGCTTGGTAGTTTCAGCCACACCCGATAAAATCGTCACATATACCGAGACTTAAATGAGACTGTCGTTGGTATGGTCACACAACTGTCACCTCCCACGCTAGTGCTATGGCCACTATAGTTTAATGCCTGCAGAGCCAACAAAATCTGCTAAATTTGGCGGACAATGTCTCGCCCGCCAAATCTGGGGGATTGTCTGGCAACCTTTCTCGCGTCTTGCTTTTGCATATCACATTTGCACCGCGCAACCTCGCCAAACATATTCCAGATTAAAAGCTTGTTTATCTTTCGACAGCGCCTCGATATGCCTCGCTTCTACAGTCGACTCTCATTAATTCAAACTTGCGGATAATTCAAACTAACATGCAGGTCCCATCCTATGCGTCTATGGGAGGAAACTCCCAGTAATTCATACTTTGCTTTATTCTAACAAATTTTGAGCCACCCCTCGAGTTTGAATTAACGAGATTTGACTGTACTCGAGTACCCACAGCTGTTGGTGCTCTTAAATGCTTTTGCAGTTGGGGAAGATCCCATGTTGTTTGCGTGATAAACTAAAACTCATCATGTGATTGTTGCAAGGGACTGCAAACCTCCCCATAGTTGTTTGCTTCATAGCCTTGGCATAGGTTCGAGAGTCCCCATAGGCAAACCTGCGTCACAAAGATCAAGTTTGTATAAAAGTAACTGCACTAGATGTTACCTAGCCGAGTTCCGGTGATACGCTATTCCACTTCCCTCACTGCACACGCGTCCCCCCCCGATATTTAATGTTTCCGTCAATTGACTCGTGCACCAATGTGCCCGCTCGAGTTTGTTCGGATTTATGTTGGTATATCAGTGGCACACGTGCCACTGGCGTTTTCAAATGAACATTTTTTATCCCTCTATAGTTGTCTTACTTACCTAGAGGCATGTCAAATTTGAAAACGACAATAAAGACTATGCCAAAAGTTTCTACAGTGTGTGCTTATTATCTAGTCACGTTGCCCTGCTACCTCTTTTGCAGCTTCCCTTATGGTAAACCAATGCTTCCATACGTTTATGCACTGGGTGGTTTTCCAAGGCAGCCCCTCAAACCTCTCGAAGCCCTGCCCTACTTTAGACGTCGCATTGAGAGTCAAACGAGCAAAGGCGCTTTGGCTACCCCAGTGTTTCGCTCCCAGTTGTGTAGCAATAAATGTCTGCCGCATGGGCAAGTCTTGAGGCAGCTTATCTACCCCGAGGAAGTTTTTCCTTTCTTTGCGTAATGGTGTGGCGACATGCAGGGCCGTAACCAGAGGGGGGGTTAGGGGATTCTGACCCCCCCCCCCCCCCCCCCCCCCCCCCCCGAAATTTTTTTCTGGGTACGGCCCTGATGTACCGAACCCCGCAAAGCACTCAAGATATGCGCAGATTTCGTGTTTTTGCCTCAACCTAAGTATGAATAGAATGGATACGAATTGCAACTAGGGTTTAAAACTTCACGAGAGCGATTGCTCTGAACGTGAAAAATTATTTCGCTGGCAGTCGGTGGTAGGTCGGAGGTCCTCTAGGCTTGGTGGTAGCGGCATGGCGAAGGCAACTAGCGACTTCTCATAAAACGCAGGGTCATCCAGGTGAATCGGCAAAAGTTATACACCAACTTTTCCTTTCCATTACCAGGAATTAAATTCCTGACAGTTTTTTTTTTTAGGTTACAAGCGATTTGAAAGTATCCTTTTATTACCTTTTTAGCAAAGCGGAGGACCAGCCCCGGTACAGTGCGTGGTACATGGTCGGTGCACTTGCAGCCAGCCGATTTTAATCTCCACCTCTGCGCACGCGCAGTGGCGCGGGTCGGCTACCGGGTACCAAACCGGGACCTTTGCTATAACTCTCCATTATATGCCACCGATGCACATGATTCATTGGCGAAAATAAGACAATGGACATTTTCAAAATGGCCGCCGTTGTCCCCGAAACCCCCCCCCCCCCCGAAATTTTTTTCTGGGTACGGCCCTGGCGACATGCCAAGCTCCAACTGGAGGGCCTATCCAAGGTGTTTACCTGCACCCGCTCATGCCGGTGCAGAAAGCACGGTGCAGGGCATTTCCAGTCCAAGACAGGCTGCACTCGTGAATGGAATACGGTGATGTGCACCAAAAGCAGATGTAGGTAAATCAATCAGATCCTTGTCCGTCCTTTTTGTTTATTCTTTCTGTAACAAGTTATCAAAACCAACGCGCTCACGTTCAACTATACACCTGTATGAGCCTTCCTAGTTTGCAGACTTCTGCTCAACAGTCCTAAGCCAGTGTCCCCAAGATATTCTAATGGCGAATTCCACAGGTCGTTTCGGAGCACACCGGGATCAGTAGATCAGATCCGAGATGGAGCGCGCAATTCAAACGGAGTTGCTCTGCCTCCGGATCCCCAGCCGAACACGACCACCCCTCTGAGGTTGGCGAATGCCTTGCCGTCATTCACCTCCCCGGGAATCCTCTTCCCGCAGTCCCGGATCTCGAAGCACGTCTTCGCAATGGCAGTGCTAACAACATGTGCTCGATGCACGAGCAAAGTTAATCATGATGTGAAAGATGCGTGTTGATGTCCATCAGCGGTCTTGCCTCTTTGCCAGAATACTGGTAAACAGTGTCCGTCTGGATATTTGGCCTCTTCTGCGGAAGTCCCAAAAGGCGGTGCATGCTGGGTATACGAGCAATCCTTGTCGCTGCTACTCGAGCCGCTGCTGCTGGAGGAGCTGCTCGCGCTACTTGATGACAACCCGTCCTAAACCAGCGGTAAAACCGGCGACACTTTGCGAGCGGCCATTACCAATTTTTCCGAGGCCTGGCTGGCTTCCGGTCGAAATGGGCGGAGCTATCTTGCACCAATCTGGGGTGGGAGCTGATCGAGGGGTGGAACACGTCCGTCCCTATCCGGAGTGAAATAGGCGTGCTCCAGAGAAATCGATCCCAGAGCGCTCCCAAACGACCAGTCGCCACGAGAAACCCTGTCCTAGGCAGGTTACGAACAACAAAAACGCGAGTCTACCGGGTGGAAATGTCGCACTTTGCGGCACTTGTCCACTTTTCCAAGCACGACAACTAGGAATATTCAATCTCGGTAGCAATAGGTCTGCCGCCTTTCACGCCCCTAGTGAAAGGTGCGAAGCTTCGACACAGAAATACTTTTCTGGGTTCATCCGTGCCCTGCGAGCACATTTATCGACAGAGGGGTTGAGGAATTTGCTGGTGAAATTAGCCTGATCCCAAAGAATGCAGGGAATAATTCCTCATGCTACCACTTTGGGTCAGGGGATTGATGGATGTTAATGGCCCTAACAGGGCAGAATTTTTTGCCACCTAGCCTAAAAAAATTAACAAATTTCTTTTGCCCAGCGATTTCCTTCGCATCTTCATCGCCAGACAGTGTGAGATACAGCCAGAATGCCCTTTGAAAGCAAAAACAGAAAAGTGAACCCCACCACAGCTCCTTGCAAAATGAGGGAACTGTGGTACCATTTGGGTACCTGCTTGGGCTGGCTCTCTTACCATTGCAAGTTTGGTACACAAAGGTGGTACCCACCCCGTTCTGTTATCGCCCTGCTTTCCTTTGCACTCTGCAGTTCCATAATGCTGGTGAGCCGCTTCTTTCTGAATACATACCTCTGGATACACCATGCATCAGGTTGCCGGTCCATTTTCTTCCGGTCCCACTAGGAGACCAGGGGAGCCTTCTTCCTTTTTTCCTTATCCCCATCAACCTTCTCTTTCCTTTCAGATGCCTGTGGTTGCCCAGAATTGTTCGGTAACCGCTAGATAGGGGATGTTGTCAAGGTAGAAGGCTATTTATAACAGAGTGTACAGAGTAACCCCTTTAAAAAAGGGTTTTTCCACCGCAAAATTAAGCGACGCATCGCTCAGCTTCCATCCAAATGTCCAAACCAGTTGCCAATGTTTCAAAACAAACCGATAATAAAAAAAATTTGAAATTTTCAATGGGAAAATTAGGGAATCGCTCGGTAACTGTAATAATGGTTAGCTTTGGCATCTGGTTTCGACCGCTAGAGCTACAGCTAGGTGGAGAATGAGCGTTTCGCGATGCACATTTTATTTGTGCAATTATAAAAAAACCTTGTATACATTTTTGTTGGGACACCACGATGGGACATCCGGTCCAGGAGAACATCTAAACGGTATTAGCACATACGTAAAAGAAGAGAGAACATGCGGGAAAGAGCGCTGTATCTTTCCTGTATCTTGTCTCTACATGTGCGCTAATACCGTTTAGATGTTTAATTACCAACTAGCCCAATTATCTACCCTTTTACGGTCCAGGAGATCGTTGCTGCTGATGACAACTGGTATGATTAGCAGCCAGAAAGTTGCCGCCACTTACCTGAGCTGTTGCAACCTCTCCACCTGCGTTGTGCATTCTGAGGGCCTTTCTTGGAAGTGGCCCATTTTCTCTTCCTCCACGCTGCGCACCTGCATTATCTTCCACCGTGAAAGCCGGTGCTCTTGGCCCGTCCTACTCTAGCATTTTTGCTCGGCATTCGAGTGAAACAAAAAAACAATGGCATTGCGAACAATGAAAGCTGTTTCTGGTTGTTGCCTTTGCTAAAAATAGCTCATCAGGTTAAGGTCCTTGATTCCTTTGCTTTTGTGCTGTGTAATGCCCTTGAAAGTTAAGGATCAAATAAATGAAATGGAGAAGAAACCTCTTCCCAAATGCACCTCGAAGCGAGTTCGTCTTGGATTCCGTCCGATGGTCGTCGAGTCCCTTACGTCGAACTACAGGGTGATTCAAGGAGACGCCAGGCTCTTTAAATCGACCGCAAAATTCGGTTTCTTAACCTATCGCGCTACGACTTTGTGCAGCGTTGCCCGCAGACGGTGCATTTTTTTTGGTAAAATTTGCAGAGAGCAAACTTACCTGAGGAAAAAGTAAAGATAGAAGAAGGCTTAGCTCCCATGGAAACGCAGCGAAGCCACTGGTCTTCAAACAACATGGCGCCGTTTTGCACGAGAGAGAAGAGATGGCGCAAGCGGTCGCGACGCCAACTGCCGCCAACGAGCGAGCATACGACGCCGAGAGCCGGCGTCTTTAGCAGACAAGGAACTACAGTTCCTTGTTGTTATTGCGCCCGTTTTTGTTTCTGCGACTGTCGCCGCCTGCAGAAAGCGCGCCGCTTTTGAGTCAAAAAGATTGTCTGCTAAAAACGCTGGCTCTCGGCGCCGTATGCTCGTTCGTTGGCGGCGTTCATTGCGCCATCTCTTGTCTCCCGTGCGAAACAGCGCCGTGGTGTTTGAAGACCGGTGGCGTCGCTGCATTTCCATAGGAGTTAAGCCTTTTTCTTTCTTTGTTTTTTCTCAGGTAAGTTAGCTCTTCGCAAATTTTACAAAAAAAATGCACTATCCGTGGGCAACGTTGCACAAAGTTGTAGCGTGATAGGTTAAGAAACTGAATTTTGTGGTTGATTTAAAGAGCCTGGCGTCTCCTTGAATCACCCTGTAGATGTGCTGTGTCATTTGGGACTCGAGGACAAACCCTGTTTAGATGAAGCAGCATACTGCACGATGCATACTATATATTATTCGAATGTCGAGACCCGCTGAGCTTCCTGCGCAAGACCCATCATATACATGGGTAAATACATAATCTGTGCACGGCAAATACTCGTGCCTTTTCAATGCAGCGTACTATGTGGTTAATTATTTTCGACGGTCAAAACCTTCGTCGATTGGCAGGGTCGAATGGGTGGCAGTATTAAAAACAATTACATCATCTTCCCGAGGGGAACCATGGGGTGATGCGAAGCATCGCTCCATCACACTTCATCGGAAGAACGGAGTGGAGTCAACAGCGGGTGAACTGAACGCGCGCAGGTTTGCTCATTATGTTTATACAGCCTTGATGGAGATGCGCCTCAACGGGTAATCGGTCTCTTAGCTGTAGATGAGAAATTTAGCCAGTGCAGTACATTCGCTAACCTGGGATTCTTAATGTGCATCACGCAGTTGTCATCACACGAACGCGTGCCGGTACGAAATTCATCCAGATCGAAACGGGCGGGGGCGGCGGGGATCGAACCCAGGAGGTTCCCAGCGCAAGCTTTCGCTCCACGCTCCGAGCTGAGACGCGTTAGCCCACACTGCCACTTCCTCCCCTTGAACGCGCGGCGCGCTACCGCTGCTTATATTCAAACTTGAAGGAGAAGAAAGTAGAGGAGGAGAGGTTGCGCCTGCACGCGCGGCGTGAGTAGAAGCGAACGCACGCGAAGTGCACGCAGGTGGTAGCTGCGTGCACTTCGCGCAGCTGTTTGAGAGAGAGAGAAGGCACGCGCAGCGAGGAGAGTTGCGCATGCGTAGTGCGAGTGCGGACTACGACGCCGCGGGACATAGCCCGAGCAAGAGATGCTCCGCATCTAAAATAAACGCAAGATAAAACGAGCATTCCAGTCACATCGTTTTTGTCGCGCACATACTTGACCAAAATAGCTTATGGGTGTTTGTTTTTACTCCCAAAAGTGGTGCAGTGCTTTCTCGCAAGAAAGTATGCATGGCATCAAACGCAAGATTATAGAAAAATATGCGATAGTTGCGCCAGCAGCAGTGTCTGAAATTGCGGCTACGTAGGGTGCAGCGCTAAAAACACGAACACAAGAGAGAAGACAAACACGGGTGCTGTCTTGTCTCTTTTCAGCGCTTTTAACCATGGTTTCATCAAGGCCAACAACTACTTTTCTAGGGTGCAGATTGGTTAGGGTTACGTTGGGACCACCAGCCTCAAATCTACGGAGGGTGTCCCCCTCTAAAAAGAAGCATTTTAGAGCATCTTGCACAACCAGTCGGTGATGTTGGAGGTTGCCCCAAGTCGAGCATTTGCAATCTGTTCTTTTCCATAGAATGGCCAAGAGGAAGAAAAGCACGATGTGTCGACTGTTGCAGACACGCGGGCATTTTACCGTGATAAAAGGGAAAGTTGATCGGCAGAACCTTTAGCCTCTCGAGGCGATTCTGAGGTTCAAAGTTTTAACATATAAGCAGTAGCCCTTCAAGAGCTAAACAGTCAGCCTGTTACCAATGGGCATTTATGCGGAGGACACCTGTCGTTGTGCGTGTCTTCCACGGGAAATGTGTAATGTTCTCCATTAAGTGCAGAACGTCGGGAAGAGTCTCTATTACAGCAGACTCAAACATTTGACCGTATTTGGCTGTCCAGAGAGAGTTTCTGGCATCAATGAGATTCTTCTAAAAACCAGTCGGGTAGCCGGCAGATCTCCATTTTATTCAAATCTCGGAACGTCGCAGGCGGTCGACGGCCAGAGAAGAAACATTGAGACCGGACGGTCAGGTAAAACCAGGCCTATGGAGAGCAAAGCTGCCTCTCAAAACCACAGTCGAGGAAGAGAGACGCCCCTGGGAGCCTGGCGTCACTGGCCCTCGCCAAAGGCACACAGGAACGGAGCAAGCAGCCCCTGCAGCAGATGCACTCCCGGCCGTCCCCGTTCCACAGACACTCCTCTGTCCACTCAGTCCTTTGTTCGCAACCTCGGAGCGAAGGTAGCGACGGGCGCACAAACTCGCGCGACCGATTGCGGGACAGCTCGAGGGAGCACGCCCATCTTCAGAGAGTCGCCGAGCGGGAACGCTCCGAGAAGTCCGCGTTGCCGTGCCGGGAGTGACCGTTACGGCACGCTCGTTGCGACGTGGCGGCAACGGAGTGCTCGTGCCGCCGCCATTCGGCAACTGCGAGGCTCCCAACTTGACGGTCAAAGCACAACGGTTACGGGACGACCGATCCGGCGGCCGCAGAAGGACAGCCGGAGCGTGTCCCCTCACATGAGGGCCCAGTTGGTGGAGGAGAGCCCCGTGGACTGCTCTAGCGCATGCGCCACCTGCTCGGGGATGCCGTGGGAGAGCCAGAGCCGCAGCAGCTGGTCGTAGCGGCGGGGGCACAGGTGCAGCGGGTTGCCTCGCACCAGGCCCGGGTCCGTCTCCCCATACTCATCCACGTACGGTGGGGGCAGGTAGCAGCCTGCGCCAGACACGCCCTTGAGTCCACTTTTGGCATGACCCTCTCTCATAGCTTCAAATACGGGGGACCTACAAAGCTAACAGAAATCTATAGTCCGTTGCAACCTAAGAACGAAGGGCGAGGGTAAGACGGGCCGGGGAGGAGGAAGCAGACGGAACGCTGGAGAAGAGAGAGGGAAACCTCCTTCTCTCTTTAGCGTTCCGTCTGCTTCCTCCTCCCCGGCCCGTCTTACCCTCGCCCTTCGTTCTTAGGTTGCAACGGACTATAGTCCCAAATTTACCTTTTCTTCCTATGTGTTTCTCAAATATTGTTTGCGGACAACATTGGGCACTTTATAGTACTCCCTCCTGTTCATCGACTAAAAGCAGCTACGACCTGGGGCGGCTTGCTAGTGATGCGGTTATTCCTCTCAACAGGTATCAGGGACGTTGTACGCCATATGACCAGTTCCGTGGGGAAAGTATACCTAGTTCCACCGGCGACTGTTTTGCAAAAGGCATCGGCAATGACATGGCTGTCTCTCCTCGAAATTATGCACAAGCTACAACTGCCATTAGTTGTGATTTGGGAATGGATGCAAGTAGTGTGTCCCAGATGAATCGCATACCCCTCAGTCGCTCTGCCAATTGCTTTGTTCTTCCTTTATTTCATCGTCCCGTTCTAAGATTTAAGGGATTGCTGCAAGGAATCTCGTGTCAAGGGATCCGACAGCTTGTCCTAATCATTGGATTGGTGCGGCAATCAGCCAGAAAACAGCAAGAAAAGAAGCACATTGTCGCAGCGAAGCTAGCAAAACACTATAGCGAAAAGAATTGTCAAACAGTGTTGCTAAATGGAGCACGGAGAACCACCGCTTTCACGAAACAAAAATCAAATTACGATAAGGATTTATCTAGTTGCTTCTGCAACACGCAGAAAAGCCTATTCCACCTGTGAAACTAATGTTCATTTTCATAATAAAGTGAAGGAAGCGGAAATTCAAAATTAATATAAATTGGTATACTGGTCATAGAGCACGGGGGTTCGGGATGCCGCAACCATGAAAACCTCCCCGCAAGTTGCCATGGCAACTACAGTAGAACCTCGTTGATACGTTCTTGGTTGATACGTTTTCCTGTCCGTTGCGTTCAAAAACGCCGGTCCCGTTTTACTTCCATAGAGATACATGTATTAGTTTCCTGCCTGTTACGTTTGCTTTCCCGGTTGTTACGTCCAAAAGTGCCGGAATCGCGGCGCCTCGGCGCGCCGTGCGCCAAGGTGCCACGCCGGCTTGAAGCGAAGCGAAGCAGAGCCGAACCACGCAGCGCGGATCGCGCGGCCGCGCGGCGGCGGCACGCGGGCGCCCCCCTTCCCTTTACTCCTTTCCCCCTCTTTCCCGGTTTCCTCACTGGGCTTTGCTGAGCTCTGCGAAAACGCTCGTTCTCTCTTGCTCTTTCTTTTCATCTGTCCTCTCTCTCCGGCGCGAGTTGTTTACGCGCCGCACACACGCCGGGACGCTGCACTTCCAGTTTCTGTTCCGCTCGACACGCTCGACAGCTCGACTGCGTGAACAGTGCCGTTTCTGAGTGCGTGCGCGTTGACGAAGGCCATGACATCCCGAAAGAGAAAAGCACTCTCTTTTAAAGAGAAGTTTGACATACTTCGCACGGTGGATCGAAATCCCAGCCGGAAGAGGTCTGAGGTCGCAAGAGAGCTTGGACTCGCGCCGTCAACTTTAAACAGTATCGTGGCGAGACGAAAGGAGATCGAGGCGAAGGCTCCTTTCTACCAACCAGGCTTTAAACAGGCTCGGGGGGCAAAACACGCAAAGTTAGAGGAGGCCCTGTTGGTATGGTTCAAACAAGCCCGGGCATCTTGTGTCAACATCGACGGAGGCATTCTGCGAGAGAAGGCGCAAGAGATTGCTGATCGTTCGGATATCGAGCATAGCGGACATTGTGGCCGACCTCACTACTGCCGACAACGAAGAAAGTGATGAAGAAGACGAACAAAAAACCAACGATTACGCTGCACCCACGTTTGCGGACGCGATCGCTGCGTTGGACACCTTGCGCCGCTACGTAAACGTTCATGACTGCGCGGAGAGTGAGAGGGGACTGCGGCTTCTGGAGAAACGACTTTTACTGCATACCATTAATTCGAAGCGGCAGGTGGATATTACGCGTTTTTGTGAACGTGTCTGAGTCCAAAAGAGCTCGGTAAGTGCATAAAATAAACCATTGCATAAGAGCTGCTTTCTATCTTATATAGAGTGCCTTTAAGTGCGTTATCGGTTGCTGCGCTTTCCCGGTTGATACGTTTTTTTTCCGCGGTCCCCTGAAAAACGTATCAACGAGGTTCTACTGTACATGCACCAGTTTGCAGCACGAGCGCACTGCCAGGTATTTTTATAGGTAACTCCGCATGAAGATCTCCCAAACCCGCTGGGAGGAATGGCTGCATTGCTTGCACCTGGAAGAAAGCACAGGTGCATTCTGCACGGTAAAAAGCAGATTTGCAATATTTGAGCCAGTTTTCCTTCTCACGTGACGTGACAACGTTATAGCTCGCATCCACTCTCGACTTAAAGGACAATTTTGTTTCAAAATGCATTTCGATCCTCCACTGCTAAGGCACTAAATTCATGGAGCCAATCCAGTGCAAGCTCCGTTGCCGCTCGCCATCTGTCGACGCCTGCACAAGGTGCTTCCTAGCCAGTTTCCACAACCAGTGGGGCTGTGGCGCCATCCTGCGGCGACGTTGCAAACTCTGGTTACTCCAAAGCAGTCCAAGGTTAGCGCATGTACCAGAGCACTAATGCTAACATATTAAAACATGGGGTGGGCTATCTTTGGAAATGTGACAGCAAAACTTTCTAGTGATAACTATTGGGGCACACGGTACAAACCAGATGATACGGGAACTTATACCGCAGATCGTGGACACAGTTAATTGGCGTTTCTCGATGCAATCAACACGCACTTTCTCCTCTCTATTTCTCCAACCTCCGTGCGCAGGTTTTGGTTTCAAGCAGATGCATTTCTTGGCTTTATTAAAAATACATGCGACTGTAGCAAGATGTTAACTGGGTAGTCTTCTGACACTCGGTGGCAATAGTCGGCAAAAAATGAAAACAATTTTTTGGGGGTGTTAGTGCCTCTCTCAGTTGAGTCAGCGATTGAGAGGTCGGTTTTCCAACAACCATAAGGGCCCTAGTAAATGCCACCCGGACGCCCCCAGAAGGAAACAAATAGAATTTATGCAACCCGTTCCCGATCATACTGACTTATCGTCTGTCGTCTACGGAGCCATTTGCCACAATTGGGCATTTACCGATACTACCAACACCAACGACAATAACTAAGCGTCCGCGTGTCAACGAATGGCAAAAGTGGCGGATGCCGTTCATCAACCTGGCAAAACGCGGCTTACTTGGGAGGGAAAAGGCCTTTCGTTGAGCCAACCTACAACTGCACGACGGACGTACCATTAAAAGTGACGGATAAACGTCCCATCCGGTTGTCAGATATGCCGCGTTTGTGGGTGGCACACATTTGCCCAGAACATTGAGCAGGCTTTGTAAAGGGTTTACTAGAAAAGGCGCTTCCAACTGCACAGTTGTTTGGCTACCTGGACTGAAATCTTTTCATTACGTTGTGCGAAAGTTTTTCCTGTCCTGTCAACCAATCGGATCGCTCAGAGAAGTCACTGGACGAGTCACATAAAAGCCGAGGAAAAGAGGGAGGGGTGGTATTGAAGAGGGCGGGGAGTGGTCCCCCCAATGCTTGCCTTTGGTGTGTCCCACAAGCAGCAGCACCTTGCAGTCCCGCACCCGCAGGAAGAGGCCCACCCCAGCACCGCACGACGTCAGGTGCAGGTTGCAGGCCCCCAAACGCTCTCCCCCAACCTCCACCTGCGTTGCCAGATGACAGGCTTAAAGCTCCTTTCCATGACTATACTGCTAGGGCCCACTTCCTAAGCTAAATTGGTTTTGAAAAGATAGTTTCGTGCATAAATCGATTTATACCCAAACTCTATCCCATTCGGGCAAATCTGTTAGCTGGGTCAAAGATGTAATTCGCCCATGGTATCCCCTTGCACGCACTCTTGGCATCTCGTGCTTCAGCTTTGACGTTTACCTTCCGTGTTTCGAGCGTGCCGTTTCGAGACCATGAAGTCTTACCGGCATCGCTCGCTTCATCCAAGTCACTGATCGCAGCAGCAATGAGGGTGACTGTTACCGAGAGATGTTGGAAGCTGGTCACTGACTTGGATCCGCTGGCGACCAGCTCCAACGACAGATTGTCACGGGCGAACTTGCCATTGACCGCAATGATCTCGCATGCAAAAGGTAAGGGGACGAGGCGAGAGTAGCGCCAGAGAGTGCAATCATACCGTGGAGGCGCCTGGAATCATCGAGGGGGATCATGGCCACCATGGTGTGACTAATTTATGGCCAGTGTTGCCTGGTCGCCAGACCAAAATTACTATCAACATTCGTAAATTGATTCTTACAATTGCTCTAATATCACAAAACTTGATATATATACTAAGTAGCCATTCCATTGGGGGGACAATGCCCAGAAAAAAAAAATTTCTGCAAAAAAATTTTGATTTTGAAAAATGACATATTTACATCCACCAACATCTAGAGAGTATTCCCAGAAATTTTCACTAGTTTACACTGCACAGTTAATTTTTTATAAATTATTTTCTGTCCGCCGAAGCTAAAGAAAGGCTAGGGTTTGGAGCACTTTGAATGCATTTTTCTCCTTTCCATGTTTTAATATAAATTCCATTTTATTCAACTATCGTTCGATAATGGCAATACAGGGAAGGCTCGTTCTTCACTTTTCCCGACTGAAATTTAATAAGGAATGCGGCCATAGAATGTTTTTGTCACTTTACGGATGTCTTTTATAAAAAATGTCGACTTTTTGTTGAAGACACACAAGACCAAAAAGTTGACCAATTTTGCACAAGAGAAAATCGATAGAAATAAATTACTTTTACAAAAAAACTTTCCATAGCCGCACCTCCTAGGCATTCTGCTACACATTTAGCGAATAAAAATCTGGAATATTGTGATAGTTTTCCGACGATAGATTAAATGAAGGCGCGTTGTTGATAGAAACTGCTCTGATTTCCTTCCCACCTAACCGACAGACCTAAAAGTTTGTCACGCACCCTCTAGTATGACCACCAACCTACCCTGTAAATTTCCTTAGTTTTTAGCCAAGAATTTAAAAGTTGACCCTTCCCATCCAATTTTTGTGTCCTAACCACTGTAAATAGCAATAAATGACTAATTATAGACTTTAAAAGAAAAAGCACAATTTCAACACCTTTACAGCCCAGGGTACCTGCCCAGAAAATATGACTGCACAATTTCACCTCAAGCTCTTTTAAAAACAGGAAATTTCGAGTCTCCATGAGCTGGATTTAAAGTATCGAGAAGAAACTTTGAGTGATTTTCACAGCTTTTCCTTTTTGTCCAATGCCACTGCCTTAGGGGGTTTTCGAGGAGGTTCTCCCAAATGGATCTGAGTAAACTCGGTATTGTTGTTTTCCGGAAAGCCTGAACTGCATCCTAAAGCTTTCCAATTCGCCCTATGCTCAATAGATAAACGGTAACTAGCAGCGACAATTACAGCTCCATTTATTTCCTGTCTGCAACAGGGATTTATTTATAATAAATTATGTCCCTTTCTAGATATTCTATTAGCTTTAGGATGTATGGCGGACCTTCGTAAATTACTGTACATAGTTAAAAGAAGAGATTTGTAGTAAGAAATCACCCCAACGAGCGAAACAAAATTATGCGTTTTGCTATAAATCCATGATTAAGAATCATATCTTAACAGCTGTACTTAAAAAAGCTTCGTTAATAAATAAGAGCCTAGCTGCAAACATGGAGTGCTCTGCGAGAGCTCACTTTATAGTCGCCGCATTTTCTGCATGCTTCGAGGACCGGCCGCCGGTCCTCCGAGCGGAGGGTGTGCCCAACCTGTACAGCGGACGAGAGTCGACGCCAACGCAAGGAACTGCCGTGTTGCTCTCTTACCATCAAGGCTCTTGTTTTGTTTGTTTACTCCCTACTCAAATGTATACGAGTCGCTGAAAAAAAGGAGCTTTTTTTGCTTCTTAACAAAACATGGTCTCAGCAGTGGACTGCTCTGAACCAATAGAAGAGCACACCAGCGAGTATGGCATAGAAGCCGTGCCATGGCCTGCCTCAAAGACGCCCTGCAACAATAACTGGCATGGACATTTCAAGACTTCAGCTTCCTCACTGACCTGAACCAAAAGGACGACAAAACTTAAAAAGCCCCTGAAAAGAAAAAAAAAGTTTTTTTAAAACAGTCTGGTTGGGACACACGTGTCAAAAAATAAATTTTACACGGAAAAAAAAAAAATATTGTAGAGCAATATTGACGGCGAGAGATTTATTTGAAATTTTGCGTGCAAATTCCATGTCATTCAGCTCGGCTTCTCATTGGTAACGATGGTCATTCAAATCAGCTTCTCATTGGCCACTAAATTGAGCGACAGCTTAGATGTTGGTTATAAAATCTTCGTGATCTCTTGAAGTCGCCGTTTGAATTACATATTTTTAGGTTTAAGAAACAATCCATCAAATGAACGTCGTAATTGTTTACAAACGTTTTACAAAATCGTAACTTCCATTTGGATACCACAACAAAGAAAAGTTTCACCATTTTTTTTTTCTGTCATGGTCGCACTCTTGTAAGGCGTCTGGCGTACCTCGGGTGGTTTTATAGTTTTATCGCGTTTATATGTGAAGACCTCCTGAAGAGGGCTTCTTGCTTGTGTTAGTTAGTCATCGTAAGTACTTAGGAAGTGGGTGACAGGTTTTTGTTTTTCTGCTCTTCTTTGCGTGATTCGTGTGTCCAGTTTACCCCATCTTTTGTCTGTTTGCTGGTGCGCTCCAGTGCCAATTTTTTTTTAGGTGTGGGTTCCCGTAAAGTGAAGGCACGCAGCACCACACTCAACGTTTAATAAAAAAAAATCTGTTTCCACTGCGAGTCCTCGCGGCGGCTTGAAGGGTCGTGTGGTTCGGACAAACTCATCGAGGCACCCCCTTCGCCGCCTTCCGCGGCAGATCCTGCGCGAGCGGTCGTCTCGAGGCGATCGGAGCGGACGCCTTCAGGCAGGCGTGTCTTCGTACGGGCAAAGGTCCAGCTGCTGGCAGCGTTGAAGCAACCGACGCTTTAGGTCGGGGTCCATCGCGACGACCATGTACTGTGTGTACCACCACGGTGACCACGGTACGACGCGGTACGACCGGCAGACACAGGGGCTGTGTTCCAAATCTAACCCAAATGGATCTGAAATACTCCGGCGGATCGTGTCACGTGACAGCACAGATTGAAAAACACCGGACGCGGGTAGGTACGCCAAGGGTACAAAACCCTTACCCTGGAGTAAGATAGAGTAAATTTTGGAACACGGCCAGGAAGTAGCAATGGCTCTCGTACGGGGCACAGCCAAGCTAGCCAAGCAGCCAAGCCAATCCACTACGAAGAGGCAGGGATCAAGTACCTCTCCTCCACGCGCCCGAAATGCCGAGAGAGAAAACAAGTGGAAAGGAGGTGACTACCGACTAAATTGCGTCTGGCACAGTCAATATTGCTCTAAAAAAATTTTTTTTTCGCGTAAAATTTGTTTTTTTACACGCGTGTCCCAACCAGACTCTTCTAAAAAAACCTTTCTTTTTCTTTTCAGGGGCCCTTTAAGTAGGACGCTCCTTTACGCTAAGGGAAGCCAGAGAAAGTTTGAGGTCGCTCAACGTATATGACAAGGATATTGTGGACTCTACTCAAGTCAAGGCTTCAGGGATACTTTGTCTGAACAAAAAATGTGGGCCACAAAAGCGGCCGTTTTAACGGACGAAACAAAGCGCCCGAAGAAACCGTGGACCAGCCCATAACCGAATTGCAGAAGCTAGCCAAAAGGTTGGACATGATGATGAACCAACTTATTTGCTACTGGTGTTGTAGGAAAAACATCTGTCCAAGAAACACAGAAAAGGTTTTTGCAAAAAAAAAAAAAGAAAAACAGCAAAGTTTACGTCAGGGGCTTTGTGGGTATTGCGGCTATTCATTGCAGCAAAGAAGCAGTCGTCCAGCACTTGACAAAAGATATGTTTTGCCGCCAAATTGGGCATTTTAAAAAAGTATGCCAAAACAAGATAAAATAAAAGGCATTTACAATTCCCTGTAATGCCGAATTAGAGCACAGCTATCGAGGAGGTGGAGGGGAGGCTATGCCCCTCCTTCTCCTCCGTACCCTCTCCTCCTCCCCCTCCCTCCTCCCTCGTGATGTCACTCGTGAAGGCCTTGTAAAGAACATGATCTTCATGAGTGAAGGTAACGTGAAGATTGTGACCTTCGTGACATCACTTGTGACCCTTATGAAATCACACATGACGTTACGTGTAATGTCATTATGGGAAACGTCCCATAATGCAACGCGCATTTACGCCGGCGGCGACAGCAACGGCAACGCCGCTCAAGCCGGAAACGGGCGCCTAGGAGCTGCGCTCTAAAGTAAAATTCCACAAAGTGTGACGGCTGGAAAAGCCTCAGACGTAAATAAGTTCCTTGTCGACCAAATTATCGTCACACGCCTGCCATGTCACAGATAAGCGGGCACCGATTGGGAGCAAAAGTAGATACGGGAGCTAGTGTTTTCTGGCCAACCCAAGCAGAACATCTTCGAGGACAACCAGTCCCTGACAATGTTGGGCAAATTTCAGGCAAAAGTCGCAAGTCATGCCACGAGGTTATTCAAACAACACCGCATGTAGGGCTGCCAGCGATCCAAGCACTTGGTACTGTCCATTCTATGAATCAAGTTGCCATTCCAGAAACTGTTCACACAGCAAAGCATTTGATGCTGCTTTCGGGCATAGGTTCGATCTCCAGCGAACATGCTATCCGGTTGGTTGCCGACGTTGTTCCTGTGCCAGTTGCAATGCCGCGGAAGATAGACATTCCTACGAGATGTGGTAAAGGGGCCCTTGAAGTGGATTGTCCGAAATTCCCGTGGTGTGGTGCGAGAGTGGCTGTCGCCCTCTCAGCGATCAGGATCTTATGAATGGTGCGACGAGAACAACAGATGCTGCCAACGGCTGCCTGGACACTGCAACTCCAAGCTGGACGCCGATTACGGGCTTTACAAAGTATGCCTCTTCGAAAAATGTCAACAGCTAACAAAATTCATGTTGCCATTTGGTCATTACTGCTATTACAAAAGGCTCCCGTTTAGAATCACCTAAGATATATGAGAGAAAATTTCTGGAAATCCTCGATGGACATCCCGGTCTATGGGTGAAACAAGAGCGGGCAAGATGGACGCCTGGTGGGAGTCCTTTTAAGGCTCCAAGGGGTGGGAGTCACACTGAACCGAGACAAGTTGTCAGTCACAACAATTCCATTCATGGTCTTGGACGGCCCCTACCCTGACCCAGAAAAGGTGAGCGCCATCAAGAATTTGCCTCAACGACGTCTCAAGCCGGAGGATTCTTGAAAATCATGGAAAGGTTCCTTGCACAAACCTCCCCGATGTCCGAACGTCTGCACCAACTTCTATGGAAGAACACAGAGTTTGTTTGGGACAAGCCTCAGAAACATGCGCGGCACGTGCGGACGGTCATCCACACGTGCCACAGGGGGCTCTTCCCAATGCCTCCGGCACATTGGCTTTCGCTCGGGCTGTGTGCGTGCATGCTGGCTGGAAGTATGCAGTTCTTGTTTGGAGCCTCGGGTGCAGTGGCCGGGAGCAAGTTAACGGGCGCCGTCTCGGATGAACGTCGTGCAGCCAGGCTTCTGACTCTCTGCGGGTCAGCGAATCTGGCTCCAAGAATCGAGCTCCAGGTGCCCCTTTGGCAGAGTTGGAAGGCCAAGACACGGGGCTTTGTCAACCGGGACTTGGAAACGCAATAGCCCAATTTGAACCACTGCAATGCCGTCTCACAAGCAATGGCGATCCCGCTTCGGTCACACAGTTCCAAGTCGGAAAAGACTCGGAATTAATGACCGATTGTGTGAGACAAACTTTGTTGCGATTCTTCCGTAATGCAAAGTCATCCTACGGCCGTGCCTCGCTGTCTTGCTCGCGAAATAGTGTGCTCAAGGTTTTCTTCGTTTACTCCGTACTGAAATGTATACGAGAAACAGTCACCAAATAAAAAGGGCGTTTCTTGCTTCTCAACGCAAGCGTCGTTGGTAGTCCTGCGCAGGAGGCCATTAAGGGGAGATGCTGGTCTTTGGAGCCAAAAATTCATAAAAAACTGTTTTTCGAAACATGGTAATCTTGAAATCTACCTCTATTTTTCTTTCAATTTTCCAAGTTTGTTATTTTGAAGATTAATATTTGAAGCATAATATCGCTTTATAATATCTATATGGGCTGAAATTGCACCAAAGCTGATGGTAAAACAACACTTTCTCAAAACACAAATTTTGGACTCCTTACAAATCTTCAGGAGGAATATCTCAGCATCTACGGCACACAGAAAAATAACCTTTTCAGCACCACGTAACTAAATGTGCAAAGCATGCGATGTTCGAAGCAGATTCTTCAAAATAGGAGTAGAAAAGTTTTTAACTGAAATAATGTTTTGGTGCTCGATAGCCACACATCGACCTCCAAATTTCAATGTGTTGTAAAGTCACTAATAATGGTTCAATCTAAAAACTCCTTTAACATTGCATTCTCCACAATCTGTAGTACTATACGTTAAAACATTCTTTTTTTACAGCAGAGCTGTTAAGAGCTAGTTCCCCCAGTAATGTGTCCGTCAGCAAACAAATGATGACATGGAACTCTGGACAGCTACCGCCATCTATGAGCGACAGCAGCAACCAGACAACCAGCATGCCGGTTGTTGGTTGCCGCTGTCGCTCATAGATGGCGCAACCTTTCCACTGTGGCTTGCCGACTTGCGGCCGGCCATTACTTCATTCCCCCCAGAGTTGACAAACTGAAAGTTTTAAAAATGATTTTTCTCTATTGTTGTTGGAAACAAAGTCTGGTTACTTATAATTATCCTGAGAACATTTAATTAAGCAGATATTTGAGCTCCAGAGTAGCTAGTCCACTGGGCCCAAAAGGTGAAAAGCAGACCTGGCAGCAGTAGCTCTGGGAGCAGAGCAGGCGCCCACACACCAGGCACAGGGTCGGGGAGCGAGAGTCGTCCCCGTCCGAGTTGGGGCAGCGGAACAGGGAGGCCTCGTTAATGAGCTCGCTGAAGTCGGCCGGCAGGGCCACCAACGCATTGGGGCTCATGGGGTGGCGCACCAGGCAGGGGCCGCTCAGCCGGGCCCTCAGGGCGGGCTGCGACACCCACCTGCAACCGAGGCAGGCAAAGGAAGCTTCAGGTCCTTCCAGAAAGTGTCTTTCTTCTAAAAACTTTTGAATAAGATATTGTTTGTTTTGAAACTTTGGCATCTGGTTCAGACCCCTAGCGCCACATTTGGCTGGAGAATCAGCATTTCGGCGATCCGTAGTCCGTTTCTGCGATAAAAAACACTTCCGATTTTTGGGGGCCCGTAGAGCTTTGTTCGTCTGCAGTCTCCTTAGTACTGATTTCATACTCAGCGCACAACGCTGTTAAAGCTACTGGGACGACCGCCTGGCTTCGTCTACATTTGCGGGAGATTGGGTGAAAAATCAAACGCCGAATCCTACAGCTTTGGCAACACTGAAGAGTGAGTGTGAAACAAAGAATAAAGGTTGGTTAACACTAGTTCACACTGGGCAGTTTTCTCACTTTTGTAAGCTTATGTCGAGATATAGACAACCTCACCGATACATTGTACGAAGTGTTGCAGACAGTTAACGCATGCACAATGTGTGCAGGATGTGCGGTTGACTTGCTGCGGTATCTTAAAGACACGAGGTTTGTAACGTAAGAAAAAGGTGCAGTGAGCCGTGCGGTAGAAGTACCTGCGTAAAATAACGTAAGGATCGCTCCCCGGTGAAACGTGCTAAGTATTAGAGTGAGCCACCGGGGAGGGGCGGGCACCTCTGTACCGCTCCTCATGTTTGCGGGCAACAACGAGGCATGTCCGTTTCAGATTTCTGTTAAACTATTTGTTGCGTCCACCAATTTACTTTCACGTCGCAGCACAAGAGGGTTCCATACCCAAGAATTTCCCAGCGTCCGCTCCAACGTAAATTACATAAATCGAGATACCGATTGGCACCTCATTAGGTTTCTCTTCGGACTAGCAATAAAAAAAAGACCCGAGAATTTTCCCCACGTACTGACAGTCTAAAATAGTAATCTGTACCCCAAACAACGAATGACTGGAACGTACTGTCCGACTCACTTGTAGATCTTCCTGATTTTCTATTCTTTTTGGATGAAATCATGTTATTGTAGTCTGTTTTGACGGTTGTGGAGGTCTCAAAGGGGTGAAGGCGTCCAGCAAAGAGGCCGACCACTCAACCTACCACTCTGCAGCGTATCGTGCTAAACGCTGCGGCGGGTTCGACTGTCGGCTGCAAGCGTTAGCCGGGACTCTCAAAAGGAAGCACACGGACGCGCCGAAGGCAAGGGATAATCAGGCGTTTATTTTACGTGTTAATCATATGCAATAAGAAACACGCTAAGGGCGACAAGGAAGGAACAGACCTTGTCGTGCCTTCCCGAGAGCGGGCGCGGAGGTGAACTGTCGGGGAGGGTCGGGCCACATGTCCGAACAGCTGGATGTCCCCGCAAGCAGTCCCCTCGAGCAGGGCGCCAAGGCCCCCCTCCCTCTTTTTCTCTCTCTGCTGGCGGCCTCAGCCTCGGACCCAAGGAGGTCCAACCGCCAGGGGACGTTTCGCGTCGCCCCGCAAGGTGGGGGGGCACGGGGGGGAGGCATGCGATGCGAGGGTAAGCAGGCAAGATGGCCACCCCTCCGAGGCACGAAACGGGGCGCTCCGGCTCGCAGTTGGACAGCTCGGAGTGCTTTTCCCGCGGCCACAGGGCCTAATCAGAAAAGTGGAGCGGGCGGCTCCCATACGGTTTACTTTGTTCGACCTGCGCTTGCTGTTGATTGTGTTCTCATATTATTGTAATATATATTGCCAGGTTTCTCCCGTACAATTTTTGTTTCTTGTTGCTCGCTCGGCTATGTTCGCTTTCGTTTAATCATTTCCGTACACCCTACTGTAACGCCCGCCGGGCAAGGTAGGTACCAAATAAATAAATAAATAACTGCAGTCGGGAAACGTCGACGCAAAAAAGTATTTATTGGGCATCCATAAAAGATGTTTACCATAATATCCCCAGAGGTAGCCCACCTAAAATCAAAGGCATATCGGGTGAAAATAACTAGTAAACTAACTTTTGGCGTGCCATGGAAAAAATTTTAAAGAAATGCTTTACATTTTGCTACCTGCCAAACTTGTAATCACAGGGGCAATGAACCAAGGATGGCTGTCCTGCCCCGTCAGCAATGTTTCCTTATCTCTCGCCACTGACCAGGGTACTGCAATTACTAGAAGTGGCTTATCTTTAGGTGTTTTTGAAAAAAATTGAATATTGTGCCAAGAATTAGGGGTGGGTTCTCTTTTGGGGGTGGTGCAGAATGTTTTTTTGCTGCAAAAATAAGGCATGAATTGCCATACGCCCAGTCTCTGCCGAAAAGTAACACCGGTGATCCTGACCAGATGCCAAAGTTTCGGAGCTTGCCATTGTTCGATTCGTGGGCAATTTGTGTAAATTTCCAAGACGTTAACCGGCTACAGGGAATACGGACTCACGTGGTGGCCAGCCGGGCGAGGGCGGGGTGTCCCACGACCAGGGCCAGGCGGGGGTCGAGGGACAGGAAGGAGCACAGGGCGTCCCAGGTGTCGCCCCCTGCCTGGCACAAGGCCTCTGGGGCCGGCCGGCTGCTCAGGAAGTGCAGCAGGATGGTGCTGCAACGCAGGAACGGGCGCAGGCCCCCCCGCACCGCTTCCAGGAAGCGCCCGTCCACCTGGCCAAGGGTAAGCCGCTTTTAAAAGGAACTTTCAGAAAAAAACTATACAGGCGCTATCACCCATGTGGGGTTTGTGCTCGTAACTGAATCTTAGGCGGTTGGCAAAGGACCAATCCACCATCTTTGTCAGGTGATCTCGAAGAGCTGGATAAAGGCGAGTCTTTGCGGGCCAGTACGGTTGTGCCGTAGGCATTGACATATACTGACAATAGCGTGGGTCCCAACACCGAAGACATACCAATGTCGTCAGATGAGGAGTCGTGAAAAACGACCCCAATGAGGAAATGCACAATCCAGCCAAGCAGGGAGCCGCATACACCTGCCCCAGCAAGCTTCTCAAGGTGTAGTCCAACTGGATAAGGTCTCTACATCCAATGCATCACTGATTAAGTTTGTGATGGTCGCCAGGGCAGTTTCACAGCTCCTATTTGGCCTATATCCATGCTGTGACGAGGAAAGGATGTTGTTTGTCAAGTATTCTAACAGCAAAAGTCCTGCACAGGATAGATGTGACGGAGACTGTTTGCAGTCTTGCCCTATGATTAGCGTCCATTATTGATGAGCCAGAAAGCCTAGCTCGGATTTTCACTCTTTTACAGCGGAGCTGTTAAGGGCTAGGTTCCTGGGGATTGTGTCCGGTACAAGACACTTGTCGACAAAAACGCCTCTGGACAGCTGGCGGCTGTCCAGAGGCGTTTTCGGGTTGTGTTCGGGTCGTGACTCACAAGAAAGAACGTATTCACAAGTTTGTGCAAGGCCAACTTGCCACTCAAAATGTCGGAAAAGACAATTTGGGAAGTGCAAGGAATAGCTACATTGTACTCGTTCAATGACATATCATTCATAAAAAAACTGGAAAGTCACGACAAAAGTAACATCGTTACTTTATTCGTTACCTTAGAAAAAGTAATAGAACTACAGTTACAAGTTACATTTTTAAAAAGTAACTCGTTACAGTTATAAGTTACCAAAAAGTAATGAAGTTACAGTAACGCGTTACCAGTAACGCGTTACTACTCAAGACTGGGTAAAACTATCTTACTTTGAGCTCCAGAATAGGAAGCTGCCAATGCCCAAGAACATCCACGCGTCTATGTTGATAGGAAAAATGAGTATTTCACGTTTAGAGATTTCTGCAGCTCAGCCAGATTGAAGGGTGGACAACATGCACAGTATCGAAACGCCGACATTCACGAGAAATTTTAAAAGTGATATGACAGGTCCTCGGGCTCTGTACGACGCTTGTTCAGGGTGACTTCGAATTACACTCAAAACCGTGTAACCATGGACTCGGTCGAAATTAGCTATCGCTAGGGAATTGAAGGAACACCGTTCCCATGATTCCTCGAGTGCGGGCCGGGGGCTTGGGGGATTTAGCAAATGGTCTGTTGGAGTTGCTCCCTCTCTCAAGCCTAGGTTCTTTTTGTTGTCTCCGTCGGTTCGTCACAGGTACGTTGTCGCTAGCGCTCCAAACACTTTATCGGCATGCCACAATGGCTTCTCCGTGTGCCATGCGAAAAAGCCGTTAGGAGCAGGAAGCAGCCTAGGATGCAGAGGCGGCCGCCGCCGGCCGTTGCAGCACGTCTGTGCTCGTTTTGGCTGGCTGCTCGGCTGTGGCAGCAAAGTGCAGTGGTCTGCGACTCAGTAAACTTTCAGAATTTGATGATTTGTTGAAATTATCGAAGAATTTCTTTTCGCTATATCTGCAGGAAAAAGAACAGATTGAAAGAGAGCAAACGGAAATGGTGATTGCTTCGCTATAGCCGCTATTTTGTTGCAAACGGTTGTGACAGTGCATTAACTTGGCCTTCATTTTGTCTTCAGGCACAGGGAGTTACTGATCCAGTGCTACTGAGTAGTTCTTGCTGTCTCCCTTGGTTTGTCCTTTGTTCACTCAGTACAAATCCCCGTGCAGAAAAGCGCCATGTAGGTGCTAATAGTGACCAACAGTGCGCATAAATGCACGTAGGAAGGTCTTTTAGCACCGTGTATAATGACATGAATTTGACAAAAAAAACACTGTAACTCAACAATATTTCATCTATGCAATTCAGAAATGGTCCAAACTATTTACTACGTTCTAATTATTCGTAATATTTGCTGTCATAATCAAGTGCAGAGAAAAGCCACTTTTCGCCGTAGAAATGCAGTACTGGAGTTTTTGACTGTGTGCTTCAATTTAGAAAAGCACGCTAGCGACAGCTGAGGCGTAGATTCTGATTACTCGCAACTGCTCACAACCGCCAGATGCGCACTGGCACCATCTATCGGGTGGAACACTTTGCAGTCTCGTATATATATACCGTAATATCCCGAGTCATCGCCCACCCCCCAACTGCCTGAAATTCGTTAAAAAAGTGGGGTGGGCCATGTCTCGGTGGGTAAGCACAAACACTTGAAAAAAAGCGGAAAAAACCGCCTGTTTTTCTCTGCGTATCTAGCGCTGATGCAAAAGAGATACATCAAACTCAAAACTCGATTTAGTTTGATTGTTTTATAGAAAAAAAAAATGCTCACGAAAGAATATTTTACTATGGCGAAGTCCGTTGCTTGCTTACGCGCTAGAAACACCGCCGATCTGCATATAGCACGAACGTTTGTTCCGTGAAAGAATGTCACCATTATGTTCTCCTAGTTAGTAAAAAAAAAAAAAAAAGAAAGAAAAGTACAAGAAAATAGAAAAACCGACCAGGCGCAACGAGCGAGCGAGCGGACCAAAGAAGCGACCAAGAGCAATGCTGGGAAAGCGGGAAAGCCGGTGGTCGCGTTGGCAAATACTTTGGCGTCGGGCCAAGTCGGGCGCCTTGTCAATTGCAAGCTCTTGCGCAACTTTGTTGTTTGGTGCATACATACGTGCGTCCGTGCACGGCGGGCTATCAATGCACGGTTGGGACGCTCTGCAAACGTCTGTGTAGGACGTTCCAGCAAAGCTTTATTTACGCTTTGGCTTTGCCTAAAATATTGCACAACAGCGGTCGCGACGGGCGGGAAGAAGGAGCGGGTTCGCGGTGACCTTACTTCGGAGGAGACAGACTTTGACCTAACACTCCGCGGTTACGTTAACAAACTCTTATTTTGTTATCTCCATCGTTTTGTTTTCGCACGGGTACACGACCACTTTGGGGTCGCTCACGGAGAAAATGCGTAAACAAAAAGAAGTGTCTTTCCCTCCTTCGTTTTACTTTGTCACGGACGTCCTCCAACTGTAAGGTTCGCGGCCGCGTCATTCGGGTAGGATGAGTGTTCGCGGGCGGACTCTGCGTATTTGAAGGGGTGGGCGATGACTCGGTGTTTTTTCGGAAATCGATATTGGCCCAACAAATGGGGTGGGCGATGGCTCGGGGATGGGCGATGACTCGGGATATTACGGTATATTTTTTTTTGCCATTCTAGCTGGAAAAACGTACGACACTGCTCCCCCAGATTTCACAACTACCAGAAAAGCTTAGTCAAATGCAGCTCCAGGGTCACCCCAGAGATAGTTCTCTCGTTGCAAGAGATCGCAAGCGTCTTTGTGCCCAAAAGGTGGTGCATCTGGTGCAAGGACAAGCCACCTGGCAGCAACATCCCGTCTCGTTCCGCTCTCCGTCACGTTTCCTGCCTCTTGAACCGCCTCCGACTGGGCCCAGAAGAGGCTCTTGCCACGGTCAGCTTCCCGTCTCAGGGGCAGGTGTTCAGCTGTCAGCGACTCCTTTGGTTGGGCTAGTTCCACCGGCGTGATGCATGCGCGTCGGGATTTGTCGCTTAATTTGCACCATCGCGGTAAGACAACGCGGGGCAGCGTCAGCTCCATCAGTACGGAAACTCTGCCGGCTGTTATACCGTGACGTCGAGGGAGATACCCCGTTTTTTAGAGACAGCCCACTCCGCGGTGTTAAGAATGATTTTATGTTCCGATAAAGCACCGAACCCCGCTAACAGTTATCGATAGAAACATGTTGGACGCCATCGAGTGTGGGAACTGCCGATGTCATCTTCCTTCTGCCCACTGGCCGTCCTCGAGCTTTGTCCTCTTGAGTGCAATACGATAGCTCTCTGCAACCGTCAACGTCTGCTTGAAACTGCCACGCGAGAGTTGCTTACCATCTAATCCATGTACTTCAACCTCTGGGTCTAAGCCTCGTTATGTTTTCCCGGACTATAAAATTGTTTTATCGCGGACCTCCGACAAATATATAGACGAGGTTTCTCCGTATCCGTTATCTGCGAGCCCGAGGTGTTTACCAAAATGATGCGTTCAAATTTCCTCACTACTCTATCAAACTTCCCCGAGCGACTCCTAAGGAAACGGAACGTGTTCCAAGTGTAGCTCCCGTTTGAAGACACCACTATAACCGATGGCATCTCCAGTTCAAACCTAAAAACATTCTCAGCCGAGCGGCAAAAATTAACCCAACTGCCATGCAGCGATAGCCCATAGAAACAGTTCCTTTTGGAGGAAGCGGGGAAGCTCAAAAGACGCCCTCTCGCCTCGTGAAGCCAGAAAAAGCCACACGCGGGAACAGTCCATCTAAGGACACAACGAGGACAAGAGGGGAGGCTGGTCTCGGTATGCACTTTTCAACAAGATTCGAGTTGGACCTTTGTATTCCCCCAAAATGCTGGCCTCCCGGCAGATTCGGCAAGCCGATCACGTCGTCCACAACAGACATTACGCAGCACTCGCATCTTTTGCTGTTGCTCGGAGGAAGAAGGATCCCCGACCAATGCCAATCCACCATTCTAGAAATAACTGGCCCCAAGTAGTAGGAAACTGGGTTCGAGGATTCCGAGAACGAAACGTGGGAGAGAAAAGAAGCGCCTTAGAACGAACTTGGGGCAAGAACTTTCAGCCTTTCCACTCTGGTGAAGAAGGAAGAGCAGCAGAGCTGTAGCTTCTGTTCTCGGCGGTGGCTTTCCAGACGAGCAGTCTGCTCTTCTTTTGTAAGGAAATCTGAAGCACTCGACGAAGTGAAACTTGAGGCGATAGCGGACTCGCAGCAGTTGCGAAACCATTCGCGCTGCTACAAAGGGCGCCGTCACTCGTAGATGATGACACCGAACTCTGGGCAGTTACCGCCACCTATGAGCAACGGTGGCAACCAACTGGTTGTCTGGTTGCCATCGTAGCTCAGAGATGGCGGTAGCTGTCGCGAGTTTGGTGTCATCATATCTTTGCTGGTGGACATGATCCTGGGGAAACTAACTCTTAACAGCTCTGCTGTAAAAACATAAGCCACAATAGAAACAAAAGAAGTTTGGGAGAGGCCAATCTAGATCAGTGCAGCTCAATAGGGGGGATCGGTGGCCGAGTGGGCTAAAGCGCACACCCAGCTCGACGTGCGTGGAGCAAAAGCTCGCGCTACAGAACCCAGGGATCCTGGGTTCGAGCCCCACCCCCGCCCCTTCCAATCTAGATGAGCATCGTACCGGCGTGCGCTCGTGTATCACTACTGCGCGAGCACGTCAAAGACCCCGGGTTAGTGGTCGTACTGCACTGGCAAAATTGCTCATCTACAGTGTAAACCAGTGTAGCCCCATCCAGGCAGACCAACCTTACGCTGTGTAAACACCAAACGTCCAATTTGACTTTTTTGCAGCTCAATAGAACTGACAGGATTGTGCTTCCTCGGTAGAAAGAGCGCCCGTGCTCGTTGGAGCACATGTTGACGTATTATTGCACAAGACTGGCAATATCCTAAAACGGTCTACTGGCATAAAGACTTCCCAGACTTTTCCGGAGCCCGGTTTTTCGGGTTGGTAGACATCTACGAGCAGAGGGACCCACCTGGGCGGTACTCTTTCCGGCAGCCTGGAGGACCTCGGTGCAGAAGCGGAGCAGCCCCGGGTCCTCCTGGGAGGGCTCCGTGTCCATGCCGTCCTCCTGGGGAACCTCCACCGTCAGCACTACCTGCGAGCAGAGACGGGTCTCCATTCTGAGCGCCTTGCAGCTCCCCCCCTTACAAGATAATTCTTTGTTCTTTCAGAAATAATATGACTATGGCACCTGCATTTCCAACTGGCATGTTTAGTGTCCCACCCATGCATCCAAAGTATTCCCCAAGTGGCAACAAATGACCTTACAAAAACCGGAGTGGTTGGTCGTACAAGTTCTGGCACACGAGCAAATGTGTGGTATCGCCAGCATTGGGCATCTGTGTCGGCTATATATATGCCATCGATATAAGGAGGACTGGTCGTTCTTGTTCCTAAATCCAGGAGGCTACAAAAGCTGCCAGGATACCACAATGGCGATGAGGTTAACTTCTGATCAGCCGCCATAAACTCCCAATTTAGGCCCCATTTGCGCAAATCCCGGCTCAGCCATTCATTCCGTGGTCGCAGTGGGAACCGAGACTCCCGACGCTCCTCTTCCGGCGAAAATGAGTTGGTTCTCTCGAAGGGACGGCACGACGTCACGTCGGCAAAGCCATTACCCGAGACGACACCGAAGGAGAAAGGTAAGCAGGCGGTGGATCAGTTTTCTGCCATGTGTGCGCTCATGAGGCGAATTCTTGCAGCCACTACCAACGTGCCTGTGGAACGACACCGGCTCAAGTAGGGGGCGCAGCGGGTAGGCGAATCGACGGAAACATAAGACAGGAGTTTGCGTGGGAGAGCCGTGAAATCCAAGTACAGAAGCACAGCCGACGTTCTGATTCGGGACCAGCTCATGTCGGGCGTTTCGTCCAACAGACTAGGTCTCCTGTTCGGGGAGGGGGACCGCTAACACTTGGAAAGGCTGTATCGATGGCAACTCGTTACGAAGAAGCTCGTTCCAACCTACCTGAACGAGTTTGCAGCCGAGGGGGCCGGGCAATATGTTACTAAAAGTTAAAAAAAAGTAAAGGAGGAGGTGTCAAAGCGCCATTCGTACCGTTCCGGGTCGGCAAGTCACGTGGCAAGTGCAGTGAACTGCAAAGTGAAAAAGGCTCAGTGCCAGAAATGGAAGAAGACCGGACACTTCCCGAGTGTTTGTCAGTCGAGGGCCCCGCCGGCAGCATACGATGCAAAAGAAGTTTGTGAGACCACAGAACATGGTCATACTTGTCAGTAGTTCGACCAATGTAGCATCTACCGTATTTACACGAATGTAGGTCGACCCTTTTTTCAATTTTTGAAAATCTGAAGTGGGGGGTCGACTTATAATCGAACCAAAGCATTCCACCGCCGGCAAAAACGAAACAATCGCGATATCAGGAACACCTCGGCTTGTTATGAGTTCAGCCGGCTGTACCTCTAGCATTGCACTATCCTGTGTGCTCATTTTACAAATTATTATTTTTTACAGCGGAGCTGTTAAAGGGACCCTGCAATCATATTTAAGCGTCTAGCTTTTTTGCGGTTTCCATGTCTCTTGGGGTTCGAGCAAGCCAGCGGGCATGGAGAAAGTAACTAAATATCAGTGTGTCATATTTTAACCGGACGACGCAAAAACCTCCTCCACCGACGGGGGCGATCCACGGTACCGAAAGCGCGCGAAATGTGACGTCTTTGGTCCTGGGCTTACTACTGGTCAGAGCAGCTAAAAGCTTTTTTTTTTACATAATACGAAATATAAGTGCCGCGAACCGTTTCAATTATTTATAAAAAGTAGTTTTTGTTTAGTATTTTAGATCAAAAAAGAAACGAATGCAGTTCATAAAGTACGGAAACAAGGAATGACCCGTCGACTTTTTCCATAAAGTACGGAAACAAGGAATGACCCGTCGCCTTTTCCACCAAGCGGACGAAAAGGCGGCGCATCCTAGAAAGGAGTAGTGGGATCTGGCGCCGACACTGAAAGGTCCCGGATGTACGCGGCGGCGCTGCGGTCGTAAACCGGCTCGAGGATCCGACTGGTTCCGAGCAATCCGAAGGCTTTCGGCGCGGGCTTGGCTGGCGACTTTGCCATTTGGCGGACGGGCAGCGCAAATTAGCTGCCATTCTGAGCTGGTCTTTACCCCGTGTTTGCTGTCGTTTGTGGCCAATGAAGTGTCATGCCGAATTAGTATTTAATAGCGCAGCAAATGCAATGAGAGCCGCTCTGGCCGCCCGCTGCATACAGCCTATCCAGAACACGCTTTAATGGCGCCCTCTCGCGCCGTCGACACGGAGTGCGGCAGCCTTGAGCGCTCAATAAGCTCACTCATTCTACTCTAGTTGACGGCCATTCTCAAGCAACCAAGGACGTCATGAGGGAGGTTATTTTTTGCTTGTTTTTGTAATTTTAATTTGCCTATAACTTTTAAAATAAAGAGAATTTCGAGAAAAGAAAAGTTTCACGAAGTTAGTACGTTCAGTGCGCCCAGGTTCGGTGCAAATTAAAAGCCAGTAAAAAAGTAATTGCAGGGCCCCTTTAAGGGCTAGGTTCCCCAGGATCGTGTCCGGCATCAAACGCCTGTCGACACAGACCTACCTGGAAAGCTACCGCCATCTATAAGCGACGCCGGCGAGCACACAACCAGTCTGGTTGCCGCCGTCGCTCGTAGATGGGGCCAACCTGTCCAGCTATCATAGAAGAATGGATACTTGGGAGCGTCGGTGGGAATTCATCGTAGGAAACAGCGCAAAAAACGGACGACGAAAAAGAAGAAGCACACGTAATGAGCGCAGCGCTCATCACGTGTGATATTTCGTCCTCGTCTGTTTTGCGTGCTGTTTCCTACGCTCTTATCAGTTCCGGTTTGGACTTGGATGGAAATCACCGCTCACAGCTCAACCGATTGCTCATATGATGCCGTAAAACCCCATTCTGTCTCCAAGCAGCAAAGAAGGCTGCCTCAAAACATTTTCTCCATAAAAGAAGGAAGAGGCAGAGCAGAACAAGGATGCAACATTTGAGGCTCAAGAGTGGTCATTCCATAGTTAGCATGCTCTGAAGCTCTACTCCACTCTGCACACAAAGGCACCATTTCAATGAAACCATTTCTGGTGACTTGCAATCGACAAAGACGTTGGGCGTCAAGTCTGAGCCTGCATGGACCTGGACGCATACATCTCTGCTGTTTTTGCAGGCCCAATGAAAGGACACCTGCTCCTCGTGGTTGTCCATGTGAGAGCCACGACATCGGCAACTTCCACGGCTGTTATTCGGCAACTTCGGACTACGTTTCCAGCTAACGCCTGCGGCCTTTGAAAAGTTTTCAAGAGAGCGTGAGATTCGTCACTGCTGCTCATCCGTGCATTACCCTCAGTCAGTGCAATGGGTGAGCGATTCAACAATGGGGATTTATTCAGTTGGCAGCTCAGAAACATCAACCTCTTGAAATGGCTGTCCTTGAAGATTCTCTGTAAACCGCTCTAGACGCCATCAGAACACAGGTGCACCAGAGGCAGGCCTAAAGCAAGTGCTACACGGGCAAGAGCCGTCACCCTTCAGGACCCTTGTTGGGGTTTGCGAGCCCAATGTCGTTAAGAAAGGGGCCTCGTGCGGAACCCACGCCGATCACGGGCACTCATAATCCAAGTTCCCATATCCTGACCAACAGCCACAACTGGAACGCGTCGAAACTGACGGGTTGCGGCGGAGTCGGTGACAGCCCCACAGCCAATGAGGGAGGCAGCTGTGCCCTAGAGGCAGCCTCTGCAGTTGCCCCTGCAGCTTTGGCCCAGGTCACTAACTATTGTGGCCAAGAGGGCTCAAATAATGATTAACGTTACCACCTTACTTTCTAATCAACTCAGCTCCTCGTTCTGTGGAGGAAAATGCCGTATCATTTGTGCCAGCGGGAAGTTGCGCCTATTTTCGGGGCCTAAAGCACTCCTTACCTCCTCGCTCACCTTATCGTCTGCTTTCCGTCTCGGAAAGCAGACGATAAGGTGAATTTAGTTCCTTCGGAGCATGTCTAAGAGTGCTACAAGCGGGATGCATGGGAACGTTGTCACGCTGCATTTTTTTAAAATATTTTGCGGGCTTTCTTATTAGGCAAAAAATGAAGCGCTCGTATCGTCTAGCAAACACCTTTACTTGGTGCTTCCCAATGTGCTCTATAACTTCCCACTTTACACATTGGGCCTTAAACGAACAATTAAAAAGTTAGCTACAGGAAACCCTCGTTACTTGAAGTCATAACTGGAAAATACTTCGGATGGAGTTTCGAGATAAGATAGGCACTCAATTTTCATTGCACCAGTGGCGCACAATGAGAATGAAACCCCCCCAACACTCCAAATGGACACTCACTGGCAGTGCCTTGGGGCGTGTATTTCTAAGCCACCGCAACAAAATTATGAACAAGCAACACTCGTAAGATGAAACAGAAAAACTGGGAAGCAAAAATGCAAAAAGAGCAAGAAAGGAAAAGACCAAGAGAAAGATCAAATGGAAATGCGCGAGGGAGAAATGTTGCGCTTATGATGCGGGACTCCTTTTTTCCTTTTTTTTAGCCAATGACTCTAAAACTTTTTTATTTATTAGGAGCGAAGTTCCTTAGGGTCTAGCCTTGTCCGTCCGGCGTCTGTGCTCACATCGATCTTGCTGGTGTGCGTGCTCACGTGCTCGTGTAGGGCAAAAAAGAAAAAAAAATGTTTGCGCAGTTGGCACGTTTCGAACCTGTGCGGGGAGACCCCAATGGATTTCTAGTCCATCGCCTTAACCACTCGGCCACAACTGCGGGACGAGTAGGGGGCTCCGAGATGTGGTAGTAACTCAAGAGCTGGGGATGTCGTGGATGAAACGTTGCATGTAGCTGCTCAATGTCTATATAGGAAAGGGCGCTGCGGTCAAATGCGTATATAATCGCGTTAAACTTTGCATGCATTGGCTCAACGTTGCATGCATTGGCTCAACGAGAGGGCGCTGCAGTCAAATGCTCAAATGCATATATAACCACGTTCCATACCATGCATTCTCTTTCTGACATGGATGAAAACGAACGAAAGGCTCGGCATGCTGCGGCTCAGCGTCCACGCAGACAAGCACCACCAGAGCTTCGCCCCAATCAACATCATTCACCACAGGGAGGCACGGGCGGCCCCACGCACCTGGACGAGGTGCAGGCAGAGGACGAGCCGGAGCACGTGGGCATCCAGCGCCCCGCCCAGTGGCAGCGGCATCCCGCTGGAGAACAGCGAGGGGGCCGACAGGCAGAGGCCCACCAGGAGCCCGAAGGCATCCACATCCAGGACGCAGGAGGCGGTGCCCGGAGCGGGGAAGGCGTGGCCCAGCAGCCGCAGGCAGTGGCTGTGCAGGGCCTCCCCGGAGCAGACGCGCAGCGAGGCCACGGCCGTGCGCACCAGGGCCTCCAGGCAGTGCAAGCGGCGGGAGGACAGGTCGCCCAGCAGGGGCCGCCCCCGCAGCAGCCACTCCGTGCCGTGAATCGTGTAGGCGCACGACCACCACACCTGGGCCGGCACCCGGTCGTCCTCCGCGTTCGGGTGGGCGTCCAGCCCCACCTGGATGCACCCATACCTTGCACTGCTGCTACTTAGTCTAGAAACAAAAATATTGACGTCGAGACAGCATCAGCTGTGCCGCTCATTTGACGATATGGCGATCGATTGACGTTGCGCCAATCATGCATCAACGGTGATCCGATATTGAAATGATGCGTCGATTTAGTATCGATACTTTGTCGATGTATAAATAATTTTAAGGTCGCAATGTGTCTGCATTTTATTCGATTGTTTGCGACGATTTCTCGAGTAATTGGATTTTGCAAATCGCGATACTAAAGATCAGAAACAATAACCCATAAAAAATCTAAGATTAGGCAAGATGCGCCACAGCAAAATCAAATCCGCTGAAAGCCATCGAGGGGTATTCACCTCAACTCAAAAGCACGCAAATGCTTAAATTTTTTACAATTTTTTTACCTTTACGTTGCAAAATTAGGGGACGGGCCACTAACAGTTGACAATGTAAAAACTAAAGAAGGATTCTTTGCACTCTAAGCCAATTTCCTCCAAGTTCCTTCAGACAATGAGAGCCCTCAAAATAAATGGGCACATCCTTGTGTAGCAGTCAAACCGTCCGCACACCGTGCGCCGGCAGTGGCACCGCTATAAAAAAGAGTTTGAAAGAAGGTGCCTTCATGCTCGAGAGACTGGTGGCGTCATCTCCCGATGTGCACAGCAAGCGGACAACAGGCACCGACGTCTGCTCGCAGCAACGGTTGGGAGAGGGCACCACAAATGAATAACTTGGCTAACTCTGTCTGCAAACGTGCCCGACGTTTACTTCTGGCAAGTTTGTTCCTCTCATTGTTTACAGGAAGGGAACTACGACTTAAAACTTTACACGATAAAAGACCACCGAACGTGCTCAGTGCACATTTCGTGAAATATTTTGTCGTTTCCCGGCGTGGGATTCCCTCGTTTCCCTCGTGCCACCTCGACTGGTGTTTGGAGCTCACCGTGTAGCAAGCCTGGGAGAAGAGCTTGAGCATCTCGACCAGGCTGGCTGAGAACTCTATGGCAGCCGGCCCCTGGGGCTCCTCGTAGCAGGCGTACAGCTGGCACAGGTGCTCGGCCGCCTCTGCAGGGAGCGCCTCACACACCTCACGCAGGGAAGGGCCCGCCAGCCGGGGCAGCGGCTTGTCTGTGGGGACAGAAGCACGTCCACGGTTTGCCGCACTTGGACCGCTAGCCTGACCGACCAAGCGAATCTAGCACGGACCCTTGGACGGGTCCCCTGTCGCTTTCAATCCAGAAGAAGAGATTTTAATGCGAAAGCATCCACTATCCCATGGGGAGGAGCCGGCGGCGTCTAACCGCTAAAATTGCAAAAGGAATGCCCATTTTCTCATTGGCTGAGCAAAACGGCTCCTAGCTAGCCATTAGCGGCCGCTTCATGAGAGTGCGCACTCGGCAACCTCGGCAGTAGCGAAATGTGGCCATCCACGCCAGTACGCTGCAGACGAACTGAGCGAGCAGAAGAACGACATTCATGCTTCTGCATTTGCAACTCATAAGGAGTGCTTAGGTGTTGTAGGGATTTACATTCTATACAAAGTATATGATACGTTTTGAGTGATTTAAACCATTTTTTTTGGACTATCTTGTCAAACTATTTGGTCTAGGAAAGCGAGCTTAAAAGGATCTCGAGGAACCACTAAGGAAGAAAATATTGAGGAACCAAGTGTGGTTTGTGCAGTATGTGCTCCAGACCCTGATCTCTGTCAGCGTGTATCATTTTTTTATTCTCCGCTCGGCAGCTCTCTTTAGGTAGCATCTCCGGCATGCAAACCTCAATGCGCCCATCGTCCATTCCGAGTTGCTCGCCTCTTCTAGCCCAACTTTTCCTCCCCGTGTGGCTACAGGTGGCTTCTTGCACCCCGCCTTTGCCATCACCTGCCTGTCAGCCTCTACATCCCCAACTTCTGGCACCCCTAAGTGATTTCTTTCTTCCATCTCCGTAATTAAGGATCTCTGTAATTAAGAGGTACGAGCATGGGGAATGCGCTTCATTACATAAAAATGCGAGAGCCTCGGCACGGATGGGTTTTGCGGGTCTTGAGTGGCTGGATGCGCCCTGCACTGGAGTCATCTCCTCATGGAATAAAGAAAGGCAACTAATGTCGTCCACCGTCGCGATGGCGCTGGTTGGAAAACATTGCGCAATTCCATAAGCAGGAAAAAGATAGGGTAGTCTCTGCAGCATCCAAATTTTGCCTCGGCAAGCCAGGGGAGAATGCAGTGCCCCTGCCATCCCCCATCGCAGAGACCTCCGATCCGCAAGGGCAGGATTTGGCGTGCGTGCTGTGCAAAGCATGAGCGGAGCGAGGTGTTTCATGCCACCAAGGATGAGAACATAAAGGGCACGTAAAATAAATGATTTCGAGAAACGATTTCAAAACATATTGGAAAGACATCCCAATAGGTTCCCTCCCTATGAAAGCAATTTCTAGTTAGTTTTTCCTCGTTTCTTTCCTTTTTATCTACAGATCTCTAGGCTCCGCCATATACCGTATTTACTCTAGTATAACCCGCACTATTTATGAACAAGGCCCTTGCGTGTACTTTCCCGCAAAGCACATATACAGCCAATCATCACGTTGCGCATAGATAACAAAGCGAATAACTAGATCACGAACACGACTCTCCATACAAATGCAACCTTCACAGATGGTATCTTTGCGCAAAGACGTTATCTCTATCCTGTAAACAGCTGGTATCATGCTGCCAATCGCGGTGATTGGCACTCTGCATGCTCCGCGGAAAAGCAAACCGTCACGTTTTTTTCATAAATAGGGCGGGTTATACGCGAGTAAATATGGTATTTAGAAGCTAATACGGCCCTACTTATGGATATATTAAATTCACGGGGGATCGCAAAAATAATCTGATATATCGACGTAAAAAAGTAGTTTAACCTCCCATTGAAATCTTCATGAGCCTCTGCTAATTGCCCAAGATTGTGACAAACAAACATTACCAAATGTCTCTTTCAAGAATTACTACCGTATTTACTCGGGGTTGAGGGTCGAGGGTTGGGTGTAAACTGTGATGTGATTTAATGAGACACGGGTTGCCAAGAGTCAATGTGGAGTCGTTCGTAACCTCCAAGTTACCGGAGCTTAATAGGGCTAGGCTTCGATTAAAAATTTAACCCGATTAATCACCACCCATTAATCGATTCATTAATAAATCAATCAGTTTCGTTCATTTCAACGCATAAAATTTTTAGAACGTCGAATTTACTTTTTTTCTTTTGCCTTTGCTGATTATGCAATTAATGGCGCAGTATACAATTTTGATTATGAACCAACCTTGATGTGTAGTTGACAACACTTCAAAAACACTCGCACTTCATCTGCATGAGGCAAAGGGGTTTGTTGACATTTTCCAGCGAAAGTGACCTCCTTTGATAGTTCACAATAGTCTCAGCGGCATTAAACCCACACCCGCACAGCATTGAAGTGGCCGGAACGCGTGTAATATTCCGCGCTTGTCTGGACTTGTCGCCCCTAGCAGTTTGCTTTTCGTTAAAATTTCACCTAAACTTTGCCCTTCATACAGGTATACCCACCACTTCTGCGTGGTGAAAGCGCTTCATTTTTACTTTTTTTGGTTCGTCAGAATTTGACCAATGAACCGGTTAAAAAAGTTAATCGACATTAAAGCACTAATTGATTAACCGGTGTTAGCCAATCAATTAATTGCCCAGCACTAGGGCATAGTAGAGGATAAGTTAGGATGCATTTAGTAGGGGCATTCGGATCATTTCAAACGCTTGTACAGAGTATTTCTGGTGCAAGCCTTTGTTTTGAACTGCAGTGAGGGCTTTTGTGACAAACTCAGAGTGTAGTTCATTTGTTCAAAGTGTCGTTTATTTAGCAATTGAAGCAAGCGACGCCCGCACAGTCAGTGGTGGCATACCTGATATATTTGTAGCGTAAGCTATACTGGCCGAGGTTGAGCAGTTTCGCGTGGCTTGCACAATAAGCCGTGCTGCGCATGCGCGAGAAGCAGTGACGTCACACGGCGCACAGCTGGCACGCCGGAGCCTCCGCCGCACCAGTCTGCGCATTCCAGAGGGGTGACGCCATAGCCGCGGCAGACGCACTGGCACCGCCGCGTGCCCAGCTGTGCGCCTCCGTTGCGCAGTAGCAAAGTCTGACGCTGCACCGGAGCCGCTTGATAGCGCCTGTCATTTTGTGCACATAAGCTCACGCTACGTATATCCTGGCATAGCCGAGCTAAGCCACCGCAATTTTTTCAGACATTCGAAAGGTCGACAAATACCGATTCGATCTCCAAACACCCGATATAATGATCGCAGCACATCATAAAATACTCGCCTTCGAGCACCGCGTAGAAGCTTGAATATTCCCACTTTTGCGCGTTTCTCCCATAGATTTGCGTTCATTGCCCGGTGTCGAGCAATGGCCGCCGATGTCGCCATTGACAGACTTTCGATCTGCGATTCGGCCTACATTAATAGAGATCAGTGCTTGTTGTAGACGACATAGTTGTGCGAGGGGCAACGGAGAGAGAGCATGGTGGCTAAGTGCCCCGCTATCACTTAGGGCGTACGGAAACGGGTGCAAACAGTTGCTGCCATCTGTCTGAAGGTCGCAGTTTCATCGAGATAGAGACCCTTTTGCAAGCCCCCCCAGAAAAGAGTACAAAGGAACACCCACTCCGCTCCTACTGGAAAAAATTGGAGGATGTAAACTGCTTCAAGTAATCATTTCTTTCTCCATCCACTGGGACAGGTAAAACTAGGATTTTGTGGGGTGCATGCAGCCACCCACCGTCGCTCGAGGGTCCCTCCGTCGTGACGACTGGAGCGCCCTGCACGGCGGTCTGTTGGAGCCCGGCGCCCTGCAGGGCTGCCCGTGCTCCTTCGAGCCAGGCCTCGAAGCAGGCGTCGTCCCTTCCCCGGGCCTGCACCTGGGCCGCCCTCTCCAGGCACCGGGGCGGCACCAGGGCGCACACGGGGGGCAGCAGGGGCACCACCGTGTTGCTCAGGCACTCACACAGCGGGCACAGGAACTCCCGCTTCTCCACGTTGAAGCTGATGTGCCGGCCGTACCTGCACATTCGAGGGGAGCTTTCCTGCGAAAGCCTCCAAATCGTCTGTTTAGCGTCCTATTCCGCCCGTGCATCCAAAGCTGTCACAGAAGTGTCGCTGTCGTTGCGATAGGACCTTCTGCAGACTATCAAGCCGGATGGCGACCTGCTGCGGAACACGTGTCTCCGACATCCACCACCGCTCCTGCGACACCGCCAGAACCGTGGCCAGCAATGTTTGCACAACGTCGTCGGACGGAAACCGAGAGAGCACTTTTCGGGATCAGGCAAACAAGATGCATTCCAGGCGTCCTAGCGCAATCGCTCAAGCCGTCGCCCCATGTGGGTGACAAAAACGTTTCGTAAAAAGCAAGGAAACTTCTTTGTACGCACCTGGGGTGGCCAGGAGGCATATGCCCGCCCCTCTGGTTACTTTTGTACCCGAAATGCTCCTGGAACGGCGTTCCTAAACGAGATGACCGGCGGCGATGCACTTCCCGTCCTTGTGCGGCCAAAACACGACCATAACGCCAAGTGCGCGTTTACACTTGCTCGGGTTTAGGGCGAATGCTCTCTCTCTATCTTCGGCCTCAACACTCGACTATATCCGAAAAAAAAAAAAGACTCGGTTTGTTTGTCAGTGATGGAAGGAGCATTAGAACTTTTGGAGCAGCTTCCATAGCAGGCAAAACATTGGCTCGGAGCAGTCACTGACGCTTTTGAAGCAGATGCCAAGACCCCTTACCACATCGCTCAAAAATTAAAAGAAAAATCACATCTTTAAAAAAGTTTATCTTCGATAATGACGAAGGTGTCTTCTCTGATACTGGACAATATTATCAAGTTTTGTAATATGAGTGGTCACAAAGGGATGCTCGACAAAACCCCGAGACTGCTAGTAATACGAACACGTATCGTAATATCCCGACAGATAGCCCGAGTAAAATCAAAAGCAAATCGGGTAAAAACAAGGAGTGTGCTAACTCTTAGTGCACGATTAAAAAGAAGTTGAAAAAATGCTAGTTTTAGATTTTGAGATCCGCGAAACTTGCTATTGCAAGCTGGCGCAATGCACCAAAGACATGCTCCCCAGTCAGCAATGATTGCTCATCCACAGCCGTGGCTAAGTTCCACCATTTCTGCCAAGGTCCCCATTGAACGAGGCCCCGCAATAACTAGGAGCGGGCTATCTTTCGGCGTTTTCGGAAAAATAAGAAGTCGTGCCGAAAATGGGGGGCTTTTTTTGGGGGTGGGGCATCTTTCGCAATATTACGGTACACTAGAAGGTCCTTTTAGCGTAATAAGAGTAATTTTTGTTTACCTTTTAATGTATGTATCATTTTTACCAGCAGTTTCGGGGCTTTTGTCAGGCTTAATATTCACCATCTTGTTTGCACTCTTACATTCAGTTTATTAACACGGAGCTTTCATTTTTTTAAAAACAAAGCTCTGGTCAGAGTAAGGTCCATCTACGATAGATATAAAAGATGGTTGAAAAATGAATCGTAGAGCAACGCGTCAGTTGGGACAAAGGCCCTCCCTCTTTTGCACTCGGTAGTTTAGTATTTAGCCCCAATATAATTTTCGTAAAATGCCACCAAAACCAAGCATATCTTCTGAACACCGCTTCTTAATACCAGAGGTTAAGCTACAGTCCAGATCAAGGAAGGTAGCGTAATCTCCGAGCCTAACCGAAGCGCTACCCCCTGGCAGCCGCTGCTCCTAGCACTCCGGTGCAAAGTGGTGGAGCTTGACGCGCGCTCAGAGGCGGTGAAGGTTGACGTGAGCAGTGCAAGTGCCACTGTACTTGGTAACCATGGCACGGAGGTATGTGGCAGACAGGACAAGCCAGTGACCTCGTCGGGAGCGTAGCTGGGGCTCTAGCTTCCCCGAAATCCAGCTGACTCTACAATACCCACAGATGCTTTTTTCTGTGCCATTCTTCTCTCTACTTTGTGCACTACTAGCTCAATATGTTAGACTACCAACTAGTGCAGATGTCCACTTCACTGGAGTAGCATTTGTCTTTTGCACAAAATTTATTCCAACCCAACCTTACGCCAGTCACTTTTTTTAACAGGTCTGATCATCCCTGAGAAAGAGCACGGTCCAAATGCAGCTCAGCGGCATATTCAGCCCTTCCAGATGCCACTGCATATTGAAGCGACCTTCCGGAGCACATCGTCACCATCAGCGACGGAACCTTGTTTCCGAGTGTTTTTATCTCATCACCTTACTGCCCTCTGGAACGCCTCTGGCCCTGAGGGTACTTAAAACAAAGAAATAAATGGAAACCACTTTTTTTTTCTTTGTTCTTTTCCATTTTGAACAGGATTCGCGATACTTGATTACCAATGCAGTTTTACTAGGGGTCAGGGGAATTATAAAATATTTTAAATATTAAAGTGCTCATCATTTCCATTTACAATTAAAGATTCACAGTGCAGCAATTCCTTTTGCAGATTTCTTTATTAACTCTGGCCGGGGGATTATTGCACTGACCCTCACCGAAGAATTTCCCAGTGTTTTTTCTCGTGGTCTGTCACTCCGAGCACGACGGCTCGACTTTCCCAAGCTCTTAAAGAAAGGCCCGTACCTTGCGGGCCTGCGGCGCTCCTTGGTGAGTACCGACTCGAAGAACTTCTGCCAGCAGCGGCTGTGCATGACGTGGCCGCACGTGCTCGTGTGGGCCCCATAGCGCAGGTCTGCCGGCACGGGGACCACCTCCTCCTGCCTACCCTCCTCGTCCTCCCCGGTTGGTGGCACCCGAGACCGGTCCTGCGAAGGTGCAATAACACCGGTGCGCTAGGACGGCCACACATTTCCGAGTGGCTCTGCCGCCAACAAAGCTCAAACAACCACTCTACCAGAAAAAAACTTTAAGCCTTTCCACTCTGGTGAAGAAGGAAGACCAGCGAAGCTGTACTATGGTGGGATGACCTCAAGGACGACTTCTTGCACGACCTCAAGGACGACGTCCAGAACGACCTCAAGCATGACCTCGAGGATGACGCCTAGGACGACCTCGAGGACAATGCCTAGGACGACCTCAGGGACGACGTCTAGGGCGACCTCAAGGACGACGCCTAGGATGACCTCAGGGACGACGTCTAGGACGACTTCAAGGACGACGTTAAGGACAACTCCTAGGACGACCTCAAGGACAACGTTTAGGATGATCTCAAAAACAACCTTAAGGACGATTTCTAGGACGACCTTGAGGATGACGCCTAGGATGACCTCAGGGACGACGTCTAGACGACCTCAAGAATGATGCCAAGGACGACCTTAAGGACGACGTCTAGGACGACCTCAAGGACGACGTCTAGGACGACGCCTAGAGAAATTCAGCCTTTACAGTCCGGTGAAACCAAAGTGGAAAGGCTGCAAAGGTTGCCACGAACTATGAGCGACGGCAGCAACCAGACAACCGGCAAGCTGGTTGTCTGGATGCCACCGTCGCTTACAGATGGTGGTAGCTGTCCACAGTTTTCTGTCGAGATTGATTTGTCCACGGACACCAAACTGCAAAAACTAGCCCTTAACAGCTCCGCTGTAAAAGAATCTTGGCAATTTTCCTTCACTCTAAGGCCCAAAGAGCCACACTACTTTTTCTAGATTTTCTTTTCCCAATCTCTGAGCTCGCAAGCGAGTGAAAGCAGCTGCGGTTGGCACGTCGTGCTAGGATAGCCATAAAGGGCCTTCGACATTCAACAAAAGGAATTATAAACCTTATTTACGCAAAGTGCTCGCACACCTAGCGAGGAGACACTGCCCAGTGCATCTCCGTCCCGCATCAGGATGCCTACCAAAGTGCATCCTTCAAATTCCCTGGCTTTTCTAAGTTTCCCCCAAATATTTCTATTAAATTCCCCGGTTATTACAAAAAAGAAAAAGGAGAGGGTTTTTCTTTATTGTTTATTCAGAGATTACCCCGCAGTGCCCGAGGGCATTACAGCAGGGGGTTACAATGGTGAAAAAAACACATCTTCATTTTCACTGCACACTTGCAGCTCCGACAGCCCATTCCACTCTTGTATCGTTTTAACAAAAAAAGAGTTGGCATAGATGCTCGTCTTAGCGTGGTACTCTCCAATTTTGAAAGCATGATCGTTCCGTTTAGAAATATAATATGGTTCTTTTAAATAAGTTTCACAGTTAATTCCAGTTTTATTTTTAAATATCAGAAACAGAAACTTTAAACACAATTTTTTACGGCGCGCTGAGAGGTTCCCAATTTAGTTCAGTCTTCATTTGAGTACAGCTGTCTCTCCGCCCGTACCGTCCCAAAACAAACCTAGCAGCTCTATTTTGCATTTTTTCTAGTTTGTACGGGTTCCAGACGGCACAGGCATATTCCAAAATCGGCCTAACACATGTTAAATACGCGGTTTCCTGTTAGGGAGTGAACATTTTAGGCTTCGTTGAATGAAGTTCAGTGCCCTGCTAGCCTTTACAATCACGTTATCCACATGTGAATTCTATGAACAGTTAGTTGATATCGTGCCCCCGAAGTATTTATACTCAAGAGTCCTTCTTTACTATATTGTTATTTATATAATAGTGGGTTTCAATTTTCTTCTTCTTTTTAGTAAAACATAAATGCACACACTTTTTGGGATTTAAAGCCATTTCCCATGTAGAGCACCACATAGTAATGGATTCTAAATCTATTTGCAACTAGGTGGCATCATCTTTGTTACTAATTTTTCTGTACAACACGCAATCATTGGCAAACAACCGAACACAAGATGTAATACCCAAGGAAATATCATTGATATATATTAAGAACAAAAGCGGCCCTGAGACAGAGCCCTGTAAGACTTTTGATGTGACATTAACGTATGCCAAACTTTTACCATTTACTAATACACACTGACAACGCTCTAGCAAATAATTTTCGATCCATCTTAGTACCGTCAAGTCTATATTTAACATGGTAAGTTCATTGAGCAGAAGTGAATGCGAAGCGGTATCGAAAGCCTCGCGAAAATCTAGGAATATAGTCTGTTTGGCCTCCCCCATCAACATCAGATGACAAGTCATGATAAAATTCAACAAGTTGCGTGGTGCAAGATAAGCCTTTATGGAAACCGTGCTGTTCTTTAGATAATTGTTTTTTGTCACATGATTTATTATTTCAGTGTATAAAATATGTTCTATGACCTTGCATGAGATGGAGGTTAATAAAATAGGCCTGTAGTTTTCGACATCTTTCCTAGAACCACCTTTGTAAATAGGGACTATGAGAGTGGTCTTCCAGTCGTTTGGCAAAAGACCCACAGAACGTGACTTTGCCTAAATTAAATAAAGATAGAGTGAAATCGGATGAGCGCTTAAGCACACAAAGGAGATATGCCATCTGGGCCATTTGCCTGAGTTTGGTCGATACTCTATAGTAGCATTTCAATAGCACTCACGCTTAGTTCTACTGGCTCCACTATTGGGACAGTGCTCACGGGTGAAAAACAATTACGGTTGTACCAGGGGTGATCAAAAAGTGCCGGGATTGATTTTGTAGCGTAAAAAGTGAGGGCAATACAGTGATGCGCGCGCAGCACTCAAAGAACCTTCGTGTCTTGTTATACCAAAGGGCGTCGCTCTGTCAACATTTGGAGCTGCGCTACACTAGTTTGTTTGACCACATGCATGAGCATGATGGCGATATTTCCATACACTGCAAACCAAAGCGAGAACGAACATCAATTTTACATCAAGCTCGACAAACATAAAAGAGAGACCTCTAAAATGATCTAGAAGGCTTATGTAAAAAAAAAGTGAGGTGTGTGAGGTGTTTTGAGTGGCACTCGTGCCTCAAGAATGGCAGAACATCACCAAAGTCAAGGAGAGGTCGGATAAAGTCGCCCTACGGCTCTTCGTCTTCCAGCGATGTTCTGCTGTTCCTGAAGCGCGAGTGCCACTTAAATTGCCTGGCGATTCCCAGGCCTTTCCAGAAGCTTCAAAATTCCCTGACAATTTCAGGTAGATAGAAATAACAAGATACATGGCAATCTGGTGAACTTTCAACATCTTGAACACCCTTTGTCCCTACACTCGGGTGTTCAAGATAGGATTTCCAGGTTGGTAGACACCCAGCACATTAGAAAAAAAAGGAGCCGAAGTGGCTCAGGCCGTCTGGCTCCCCAGCGTTTGAGTGGGGCAGCTGGGAGGTTCACCTTGGAGAGCACAGTCGAGCGCTGCACAAACGCAGACAGCACCAGAGTCCTCCCTCCGACCGAGAGCTCCTCGTCCTCCCGGCACAGGATGCAGGTGTGGCGAGATGCCGAGGGGGCCTCCGCAGCGGCCACGTCCAGCTCCCCCGCCTCCTGCGCCCCACGCTTCGCTCAGCCTCCCGCAACTTGTTGGCGCAGCGGATAGTGAACAAAACGACATCTCGCCTGAATGCATTGTGATCGAGCCTTTTGACCTCAACCTTAAAGGGAGGCTGAAGGAAGGCTTGAAAAAAACCAGCTCGAGGTGAATTCTACTGCAAATTTTCCCCGTAAATTTAGTGGGGAAACTGAATTGGTGTTGAGGTGACGTAATGTTAAATTTCCAGCTATATTTAGCGGTAAAATCTCTGCAAAATTTTTACGCTAAATTTAGCGCGACGTCACATGTGACGTCAGGAGGGTAAAGTTTTCCCGCCAAATTTGGCGGTAAAATGTTTCGCTAAGTTTGGCGGAAAGCTTTTCCACTAAATTTAGCAGGAAAATTTCTCGCCAAATTCAGCGAGAAAAGTTTACCCTCGTGATGTCACATGTGACGTGACGTGTGACATCATTATGGGAAACATCCTCTAATGCAATGCACGGTTACGCTGATGCCAACGCCGCTCAACCCGGAGACGGGCACCCAAGAGCTGCACTCTAAGAAGTCACGTGAGTACCAGGTTGGTAGAAGTTTTGACGTACTTGAAGCTACTTGAAGCTGGCTATCTGAATGCGCCACTAATAGCAATGTGCGAAAAGATCCCAAGGCGCAAATGCAGCGATATACCGCAAGATCAACGGTGAGGAACGTCCGATAGCAAATGCTTCCAAGACCCTGAATTCATCGGAGTGGGCTTATGCACAAATAGAGAAGGGAGCACTAGCTATTATCTTCGGAGTCCAAGTTCACCAGTACAGTCAAACCCAGATATATTGAATTCAAAGGGGGCCGTAAAATTGCTCGATATAGCGATAATTTGATGTACAAAATATATGTTACCTTAAGCTCCAGTTGAAATTTTTGCGCGTCTCTGGTAATACCGAAGACCCCGACAAACGGGACCTTACCAAATGGAGCTTCTAAGAGCCGCAAGATCACATCATCAGATCATGAAAATCACAGACACCGCTGTGTTTAGCCGACGGTGTGTGTGATTGTTTACGCCTAGCCACAACCTCCACGCAGCGCCAGCAATTCACACGGCAAAAAAAAAAGAGAAGAAAAAGACGGGCAAAGCAATAACGGCGAAAGAAAAAATAAACAAAGATAAGGCGTTTAAAGTGTGATTGCTCAACCGTTGTTGACACACTCAACTAGATGAAGACTTTTTTTTTTTTTTTTGGCTCATATTAATTTGGGGTTAAGGAGTCCCGCAGCGACAGCGATGTTCTGTTCGGGGAAAGAGCGCATGCTATCGTGCCAACAACGAGCACCCCCTGCCCTCCCTACGCATGCCCTTCCCCTTGCTTTTGCCATCCTCCACTTTTTTTCTTAATGCAAAAGCATTAACCGTTTTTTGGAGCGAACTGATGTCATCAGTTTGAAGCGTGAAAACGGCACCTAGTTTCCGCGACCGCCTTCGGTTCCATTGGCTGGCGCGCGTCGACGGGGCTCCCATTGGCCGCTGCGCTCGTCAGTTTCCACGACCGCTCACCCCATGGTGCTGCGTGTCCATCGGCGCAGAGCGTCCAAGGTCACCAGGGGAGCACACGCACTGACCGGTGACGAAAAGTGTGCAGCAGACGAAAAAGGGAGCGGACGAGCGGCTTGCATGCTTTCCCATTTCCGATTCATAAGAAGCTAGTGTGAAGACGCAGGCAAGTTGGTGACAAATCATAGTAAAAAAACAACACCGTCCAAGACGGTGTTGTTCTTGTCCTTTTCAGCTCCTTGTCTCGGTTTTTCTACCATGATTCGTAAGAAGTGCATAGGTGTACCTCAAGCTTTTTTTTTTTACAGTTTTCTTTTTTTTTACAACCACGGGAGAAGCCACGAGCGGCCGTTTTAGTTCGCTATATCGAGTGTCCCCGCCATGGGAGTTTGATACACAAAAACAATGCTTCAATACTATTACATGTGATTTCCAAGGGGATGTTTGGACTGTTCGATATAAACAATAATTCGAAATACCCGGGTGTGATATAACCGGGCTCGACTGTACCTCCGAGGATACGAGCTAACGCATAACTTTAGGGTAAAGCGGCAAAAGTGGCCGTGGGCCCGGCCGTGCAGCGGGCACACCTTGAAGAGGTCCGAGTACTCCTGGATGAAGTTCTTCTGCATGGCCGACATCTGGGCCATGATGCGCGCACGGCGTGCGGCTGCGGCCTCGGCGTTGCGTGCCCCAGCCAGGCGCCCTCCCGGGTCTGCCTCCTCCTCCACCTCCATGGGGCACTGGTCCGTGGGTCCGTCCCGCACCCGCCGGAAGTGCCGCAGCGTGTGGTCCAGCAGCGGCTTCTGGCTGCGCACCCTGGGGGCGGCCGCACACCTGGGAACACCGCCCACCACTTAATCTCTGCAAGCCACAAATCACCCAATTGCGACATCGCCCGACACTAAGAAAAGTCTCGAGATGTTACTCGGCTTTCTTTTTGACTCACCGCTTCTTCGGAGCACTACCGTTTTCACGTGTACCTCGTGTTCGTTTCTGCCTACCATATCGTTTTATAGTTTATGTATTTGTTCGGCATAACTTCCCAGCGCAGCATACCTCGTAGTAGCTAAGGGTGTGTTTGTGTCATTGTAGCCTATCGCCGAGCGTCCTTTTGATTTGTCTGTCGTTTCCGAGACAAGTTCGACCAACTCGCCTCAGAAAACTGTTATCACATTTTATCCAGTTTTTCTCATTCAAGTATGTGTTGTTTCTGTCGTGTATATTCTCAAAAAGTGGGTGTGACCTCTTCGATGAGTCGCACGAGGAACTGATCGTAATTTTGGATAAATGATGCCAGTCCAACACAACTGTGCAAACCAGCCTTCAGATGTGCATCAAACTTCTTAGCAATTTTATCGCTTTTCAACACATACTGCTCCACGACTTTTGGGGGCTTTGAAACTTGCCCGAGAGGCACGCACAATTCATTTGGCATCTGTCAACTTTATGCAAAGAATAAAGTTCCCCGTTCCAATTTCAATCCCTCGCCAAAAAGAAACCGCGATTCAGTCTGCCAGTGGCCATGAGAGGCTTACGGGCACATCCCCAGCAGGAGCCACCGGGGTGCACCCATGCGAGGCACCTCTTCAGCAGCAGCTGCCTGTCCGAAATCACGCGCAGTCACGTGCCAACTTGGCAATTTTTTCCCACTGCCTTGGCAGCCCCGACCACAGCCACACCCCTGAAACAAAGCTTTTAAGAAGATTGGACGACGACCTCGCGAGTGGCAACTTGTGGCCTTTTGTCGTCAATAAAGCCTTGCCGGCCATCTGGATGTCCCAGGACGACCGACGTCCCTCACACTGGCTCGCCGTTAAAATTATAAAGTTTATAGCAGGCAGGGAAAGGGAGACACTAGACTTGTTAGTGTGTTCGGCCGAACAGCCAAGCCAATGCAGTAGTAGTGGGCAAAGCAACTGGTTTGCTGCTGGGGCTTCGAGTGTGACCTCCACTTAAATTGCATTTAACGGGGTAAATATTGCGTAAAATTTTTTTCCGTTTTGTAGAAAATTACGAAAAAAAACTTTTTTTTTTTCATAATTCGAAAAAAAAAAAACTTTTTTTTTTCAATATTATTTTTTTAAGGCATGGAGTGCCTCTCCGACCGACGCGTTTACTGCGTCCGCAAAAGTGGTTTTCCGAGTTCCGCCCCGCTGTAAGAGTGTCACACAACAGTCGAGCACGGTTATAACAGAGTCAACGGAAATCACTTCGCTATATCCGCTTTTTCCTTATACCTGGGCCCCCTAAAAGTAATATGCAAAATAAAATTACACGGGCCATCACGGGCATATTTATTGTGCCCTGCAGAAAGCAGTCGAGGCTTCCCTGCACACGCCCACTGCTACATCGGAGCCACCTCTTGCTAACTGCAAGAAGCTCCGATTGAGATCCTACGAGCTACGTATGGACCGTGCCGACAGCTGCGACAATGCAAAGCATTCTTTACGTTTATGCGCACTTCGTCGAGGATGGCAGGACGCCTTTGTTTCAAAAATATTGCCTCCTCCTTCCCCGTCGAGGTGCCGGCGATGCTAGAACTCACCGTCGTTGAGAGGTGACGAGTGACCAAATCGGTGCTTGAGAAAAGCTAGACTTTCGCACAGAGTTACCACACCGACTAGCGACGCCGACATGGAGCACAAAGCAAATAAAGGAGCGCGAGCGGCACCGATTTCGCACTAAAGCTTGTGTTTCGTCGGTATAGAGAGCATAGACTTAGGAGAGGGGGCAACTGCTCAAGCTGGGTGACGAGGCTTGTGGGCAGTGTCTGCAAAATGAGCTGCAGCCTGCAAAGAGTCAAAAGCGTTCACCGTCTGCAAACGTGTCCGCACCTCTGCTCGGTTTCCTCGCCACGCTGGCCACGCGACAACCAAATGCAGGCACACTTGTGCTGATCTGCCCAGAACTTGTCCGTCATTAAATTGCAAACGCTCTCCATGTTTGAAGATGCTCCCTTACTTAAATCTAGGCTCCCTCCGTCGGATACATTGTTGCTAGCGCTCCGAACGCCCTTATCGGCATGCCGCAATGGCTTCTCCGCGTGCGATGCGGAAAAGCCGCTTCCCAGAAAAGGAGCAGGAAGCATATGACAATGCAGAGGCTGACGCCGACAGCCTTTGCAGCGCGTCCGCGGCTCGTTCTGGGTGGCTGCTCAGCCACAGCAGCAAGGCGCGGCGGTCTGCGACTCTGAACTTTACGAATTTGATTCTTTTTTTTTATTATCACAAATTTTTTCTCGGCTATATTCGTGAGAGCCACTCAATTTCCTCTGCTATAAATGGACAGAAATACATAGAAAAACTGCAAATGGCAATGGCAAATTGTGATCACTTTGCTACAGCTGCTATTTCGTTATAACTAGGGCTCCGTGTTTTCCGAGTTTATTTTTCGTCAAATTCGGAGGGCGTTTTTCGGAGTTTATTTTTTGCCAAAGATTCTGAGTTTATATTTTTTTTTTATTCCCAATTCTCCAAAATTCTGAGTTTAATTTCACCGTGTTTTTTATTAAAAATAAATAAATAAATAATAACCGTATGTCAAATAAAAAATAAAACGCGCTTGTATCATTTGAAATATGTTCAGCTGAATTTGGCGTTGGTGCCATTGCCATTGGCAATACTAATTTATCCACGCCACAGGTCACACACAAGTGGCGCTTCGATAAACCCCGATACCTTAAAAACAATAAACTCCCAAAGGTAGTCACTAGGAAGCTCGTAGTCATCCCATCTTATTACACCAATCTAGCCCGCGGCCGCACGAGGTGGAGTGGTTAAGGAGGTAATAAAGAGTTTGAACTGCCCCTCTTCCTAATTTTATACAATCCCTATGGTCCATAGGCTTCACTGCTACTAAAACATACCCTTTCCTTTCTCTAAATCACAAATCGCATGGCCTAAACTGGAAACCAAAAGAGTGGCTTCTGTCGCGACCCGAATGTACAACGAACGACCTGTTGCCCTGAATCAACCTTGAAAAAACAAGCGGCATGACCCCTTTTGACAACGGTCCGAGATTTGAAAGATAATAATGGTGGAATTTTCCCAGGACCATTGGCTCTGTGCTCATCAAACTGTAAAAAAAAAAGTATTTTACTTTTTTCTTTTGTCGGGGGGGGGGGGGGGGAGTAGCATTGACACATAAATATTCGGAGTTTAAGGGGCATCCACACGAAGGAGAAATCCGCCACGTTCTTCCGCGGATCGCGCATCACGTGAGACATACGTCATCCCTTTTTGACGCCTCGCAGCGCGTTCTCCTCCGTGGCGGAGGCGCGGAGGCTTTGTGCTGGCAGCACGAAAGCTCCGCAAGTGCACACGGCGGAGTCGGGGACGGAGTTTCCCGGGATGTTGACGTCACGACATCCGTCCGCGGAGTTCTCCTTCGTGTGGATACCCTATTACCGGATAAATACGAATTGACCAAAATTTTACCGGCGGGAGTTTTTCGGATTTATTCGAAAACACGGAGCCCTAGTTATAACCGACTCGGTTATAAGTGGGTGCGACTGCGGCACGTGCTGCAAACCTGGTGTCAAGCTGAGTGGGGCAGAACGGGCAGATGTCCGTTCTGCCACACTCCCAGCTCGACAATCCACCAAATTTCCTGTAGTCTTTCGGGTCGTAACTAATAAAAAAAATGGCCAGCATCGTGACATCCGACAGTCTCTCGTGGAATGCGGGAGAGGACGCTGTACACGCGGGGACAGCCCCCTGGTGCCCACCTCTCGAGGGCGTCTGCCAGCCCCGAGCGGGTGGCAGCGGCCGTGAAGGCGAAGAAGGAGTCCGCTGGGGGCACCCCCCGGTCCCGGAGGCGCTGCTCTTCGTGCAGGGCCACCCCCACCAGGTGCAGGGCCTTCTCCAGCTGTGTCTCCGAGAAGGAGGGGCAGCCCGGGCTGCTGGCACGCCCCAGCACCAGGTTCAGCACCTGCAAGGGGGCCTCCAAGTCACGCCCCAGACGTGCACCGGGAAGCCGCCCAGGTGCATGGCGTAGCACCTCTGCCCAGGTGACCTTGTTATTGCATCTAGATGCCAACGGGACAGCTTTCAACGTTGGGCTTTATTAAAACTGCCCAGCGCGCGAGCTAAGGCATGCTCTGGTCGTTTGCCTGTCATGCTGCCTTCTTCTCTGTGCCAATATAGGGCGGTTTCGAGCGACATACTTTCAAACATATTTATTGGCGACATACTGCTGGACACCATGTTGTCCAACTTTTCAGTTTGTCTTTTTATGTGCGGAGGCAGCATTTTCCAGACTCTTCTACGCAGCAATTGACCATGTCTGCCAGAGTACGGTCGAACCCGTTCATAACGAATTCTTTTATATAAGGATATAACATATAAAAAAATAGATCAAACTTGCATACCGTATTTACTCGCATAATAAACGCGTCCCCCACCACGGGTATCAATATTTTGACTTTTTTTTTTCCCTCCCAAAATCAACGCACCTCCAATTTTCGGATCCGCGAGTCTCGAATTGCGTCCAATTTAGCAAGCCACTAAGCCAGTTTTCTTTGACCGCCAAGCGGTCAAGCCAAGTCAAGCCAAGTCAAGCCAGGCTGGGCTGCTCACGTAATGGCTGCAAGTGCATAGTTGCGGTAGTTACGGAACTGATCAACCGTGAAACCGAGTGTCGCGCACACTTGACGAAGCTTGGGTTGAGGAATTGCCGAGCCCCGGACATTCTTCGCCTATCAGATGCATTGATGTCAACAAACAAGCCATCGTCTGTAGTCCGCTTTCGGACGGTGAAATTGTGAAAGTGGTTAGCCCTACTTTCACATATTTTGGGTAAACATGTTTATTTAATCCGCAACAGAACGGCACAGCGAGGTGCACGCTGCGCTGTAGGCCGAGAGTGTCTGGTAGCCTCTCCGTGAACAAAACTTGATCCGTGCAAGCGGGCTTCAGCGGTCGTGGGTTGGACTTCGTACGAGTTCTTATACGTGTAGTCGCGGATTACACTTGAGCATGCCCGCCAGATACTAGCAATATATATCGCCTAAGGACGGTTGTGTTGCTTTTCGTGCTGAGTGAGCGTCGTAGGGCGCTTTTCCTTCGGCAAAAGGCACCCCAAAAGCGCCCTAAAAAGGTTTGCAATTTATGAAGCATGGTTACTGTGGCGCCCCCCAGACCAGGAGTGGGTGCGCCTCCATCACTGGAGACATGCCACTGTACCTTGCCGTGTCATACTGGCACCTAATATGACATTTGCATGAAGTGTGTAAATGCAAAAATTTTACCCCCCCCAAATATGGGTCAATTTTCCGGGAAAAAAAAAGTGTGTTCATTATGCGAATAAATACGGTATAGCAAATTCAATGCCGAGAGTTTGAAGAATGCGGTATTGACGCTAAATGTGTGGCAGACACGCTTGTTAGGTTCTTTCACGTACAGCAAAAGAATGTTCAATTCAAGAAAAAGTGACTGATATCCTTCTAGGCCCATCTACCGTAATATCCCGAGTCATCGCCCATCCCCGAGCCATCGCCCACCACATTTTTTGGGCCAATATCGATTTCCGAAAAAACACCGAGTCATCGCCCACCCCTTCAAATACCCCAGCGCGGACTCTGCGATCCGCGAACACTCATCCTACATGAATGACGCGGCTGCGGACCTTACAGTTGGAGGACGTCCATGACAAAGTAAGACGAAGGAGGGACAGACACTTCTTTTTGTTTACGCGTTTACTCCGTGAACGACCCCAAAGTCGTCGTGTATCCGTGCGAAAATAAAACGATGGAGATAACAAAATAAGAGTTTGTTAACGTAACCGCGGAGTGTTAGGTCAAAGTCTGTCTCCGCCAAAGTAAGGTCACCGCGAACCCGCTCCTTCTTCCCGCCCGTCGCGACCGCGGTTGTGCAATATTTTAGGCAAAGCCAAAGCGTAAATAAAGCTTTGCTGGAACGTCCTACACAGACGTTTGCAGAGCGTCCCAACCGTGCATTGATAGCCCGCCGTGCACAGACGCACGTATCTACGCACCAAACAAGAAAGTTGCGCAAGAGCTTGCAATTGACAAGGCGCCCGACTTGGCCCGATGCCAAAGTATTTGCCAACGCGACCACCGGCTTTTCCGCTTTCCCAGCATTGCTCTTGGTCGCTTCTTTGGTCCGCTCGCTCGCTCGTTGCGCCTGGTCGGTTTTTCTATTTTCTTGTAGACTTTTCTTTCTTTTCTTTTTACTAACTAGGAGAACATAATGGTGACATTCTTTCACGGAACAAACGTTCGTGCTATATGCAGATCGGCGGGGTTTCTAGCGCGTATGCAAGCAACGGACTTCGCTATAGTAAAATATTCTTTCGTGAGCATTTTTTTTTCTATAAAACAATGAAACTAAATCGAGTTTTGAGTTTGAGGTATCTCTCGTGCATCAGCGCTAGATACGCAGAGAAAAATAGGCGGTTTTTTCCGATTTTTTTCAAGTGTTTGTGCTCACCCACCGAGACATGGCCCACCCCACTTTTTTAACGAATTTCAGGCGGTTGGGGGGTGGGCGATGACTCGGGATATTACGGTATAGATAAAACGGGGAGCAAATCAATTTGAACTGCTCCTTCCATCAGGACGTCTGCCAGATTAGAGCACCTAGAGTCGAGAGGAGATAGAAATTGCTCCTCACCTGCACAATGGGCCTACCGATTACGAGCGAGCCAGAAGCGCCCGCGTTTTAAACTTCTTTTACGGAAATTCTCCACATTTCTCACTCGTAGGGTCATATATTTTGTCCGAGCTTTCGGGAACTTGTTGGGGGTGACCTTAGGCACTCACGGCAGATGGCGTTTTGACACGGACTGGACTGTGCGCTCCATTTTTACGCAGCCCAGCAAAAACCCTCCGTCGAATTCCTGGCACCCTCGCTTCACTTTGCGTCACCAACTTGCACAATTTGCGCAACTCAACCAACTTTTTGTGTTGGTGACACACTCGCAGATTCTGTGCTGCCTGCAATCCCAGATTTCTTCCCGCGATCCTAAAGAAAAAGTATGTTTCTGGTTCGTGTGAGACAAACGGACGTTGGTCCCGTCTTCAACAATCTCAAAACGACCCGACCTCGTGACATAAGGCCATGGCAGTGTCGTACGAGCGGAAGTGGCAGGCACGGAGCGCAGTGCCAGGACATCCGACCACACCTTGGGCCCCTTTGGGACAGGCAAGAGGGGCGTACCCCGAGCATGACGTCGCACTGGAGCAGGTTGACGACCGTGGCAAAGGGGCGGGCAAACTCGGGGGGGCAGGGGGGCGGGCAGCAGGGCTCCAGGCCGGCCTGCTTCCTCCGCCGCAGCTGGGCCTCCTCCGCCCGCGACTGCTCCTCCCGCGTGTAGTGGTAGAAGAACGGGTTGAACTCCCCGTAGAACTCGGGCCGCAGCTCGTACCGGCTGCAGAAACGGGGCACCGGTTACTCCTTCTCTACCGTCTGCCCACACACTCCACACTAAAGAAAACCATGACAAGTGATAACTTTGCATTAAGGATGGGCGAATATTCAGTTATTACAGGTAGCCAATCGAATTCTGTTCCGTTCAGTATTTGCTCCGAATCAAGTATTCGACAATATCGAATTATTCGACAATACTGAATTATTCGACCTTTCTAAATGACAGTCAAACCCGACTATATCAAATGGTTCCTTAAATCAAACAGTTTTTGTGCAAAGTAATGTTACAGTGATAATATATAGCAAAAACTATGGTTACATCAAACAAAAAATTGCAGCCGCTACCGATATATCGAACTGCCAAGAGCGCCGTTTTGCTCTGCAAGCTGGCTTTCCCCCAACGCAGGTGGCCGCATTAGGGGAAAGCCAGCTTGTAAAGCACGCTGACTTTTTTCTTTTTTTTTTGGGCGGCCGCGTTGACTGCTTGGAAGAAAAGAAAAAAATATCTTTTGCGGAGGGAGCGGAGAGAGGGTGTTCCATGCTCCCTCTCCCCGCTCCGTCTGCAAAACAGAATACTATATTTTTTTTTCTTTTAAGCGGTTGACGAGGCCGCCCGGAAAAAACAAAGAAAAAAAATTGCAGTGGCTTAGCTCGGCTATGCCAGGATATACGTAGCGTCAGCTTAGGTTATTTCCCCAGTTCATTAGACGATGGATATGAGCGAGGGAAATCTGTGGCAAAAGTAAAAGTTCGGCCACATCGTTTAGAACCAGTAGACCTGATGGTAACAATACTCATTGGTACCGCTAAAGAGTGGAATCTTCTGCTTAACGAAAAAGTTCTTGCACGTTGTACAAACCCGCGCCACAGTTTCACCACACTCAGGCAGCGCCGTTAAACTCAACGTTTCACGCATGGCACTACTTACCGGCATCAAGTCTTTCATGTGCCACAGTCTTTTTCATGTGCCACGGATTGTTTACAAAGTCCGTTTCAAAGGTCTGAGTCGCACTGGCGCTTTCGCCAAATTTCACCGTACAGTCAGTCAATCGGCGAGCCTTGACGTCATCGACGGCGTCTTGTTGTTGCTGCTGCTGAGATGGTCGGGCACGTCGCTCAGCCTCCTGGCGACGCCGCTTTGCCAGACGTTCCTCCCTTTGCTCCGTTGTCTCCGCAGCGCGTTAAGCCTTCTTCTGTTCGTTCTTCCTATGCTCTACCGCTAATTGCCAGGCAACTACTTCGGGATCCGATGAGTTAAGCTTCTCCGCTCTTCTGCGCCGCAGCAATTTCGCTCTCCTTCTCCATGGCTATACCAGACTGGCAAACGCCCTGCTATATGTATACCTACTGGTACCTCTCCACGTGCGCACATAATGAGAGGCGCTATCAAGCGGCTCCGGTGCAGCGTCAAACTTGGCCACTGCGCAACGGAGGCGCACAGCTGGGCACGCGGCGGCACCAGAGCGTCTGCCGCAGCTATGACGTCACTCCTCTGGAATGTGCAGACCGGCAAGGCAAGCGTGGCAACAGCGGAGTGCGCGGCGGCGGCGGCTCCAGCGCGCCAGCTGTGCGCCGTGCGACGTCAGTGCTCCTCGCGCATGCGGAGCATGGCTCTCCAGGAGCCGTGCGAAACTGCTCAACGTCGGCCAGTGGAGCTCACACTATAAAAAGCCAGCTTGCTCTGCCAGCTGGCTTCCCCCAATGCAGCCACCTCTCATAGGGCAAAGCCAACTTGCAGAGCAAAACGGCACTCCGCAGGAGAAGGTGCTCCTGCTCAGACATGCACCAAACTCTCAGCATAGCTCAGCGCTGATGCGCGAATATACAAGGCAGCGGCCTCAGCATTTTGGAGTCTGTCGATAGCATAGAAAAATATCATTATCGTGGATGCAATGAAGAAAAAGCAGCAGAAGATGCAAGACTACCTCATTGTGTAATATTTCAGCAGAAAGTGTATTTTTGAGAGTCGAATTTGTTAAAACCTTTATATCGAATTATCCGGTATATCGAACTGGTAGACTTTTTTTGCGAGTTCGATATAAACGGGTTTGACTTACTCTGGCTTGGATTTCCAGCCAGGTGGCGCAAGCTTCAGACCATTTCGTGCTCCCAAACTCAATACACTTGAAATTAACAAAGACAGTACTTCTAACACCAAATAAGTGCAAATATAAAACTATAGTTTAAACATATCTTGCGGTATTTGTTGCTTGTACTATTCAAACTATTCGATTAGAAATTATTCGGCCAAAACCACTATTCGCTTCGAATTCAATTCGGACCCGAAATCCTCTATTTGCCCATGCCTACTTTGCATCTCTTCGTTAATCGTTGAGGATTTTAGACTGAGGAAGAGGGCAAAAACACACGCTTTGCCCTCATCATTTTATCTCTTTGATCCTCCGCCAAAAGAGCCGAATCATGGGCAAACTCAATCACGCCCCAATTTCGTACAGCAAAACGTGATCACCTCAGGTGATCGCGCGCTGTTTTACGAAACTCCGTGTGGTTTTCCTGGGCATTCCAACTCGAGGCTCCCAGGCTTCGTTACGGAACTGTATCGCTCCAATTCATCCATGTCTGCGCTGCCACCTTGGATCCTTGCACGCTACATTATTATTTCTGCATGCATAGCACGCCATTCGTGTTGTCGACGGGTCTCGTGGTGTGGATGGCCTCCTTGAGTCATTTATGACATTATTTCCACTCCAGTCTACCTGGATACCAAATGTTTATGGAATTAAGACGTGGAAAAGGATATTGCTGGAATCGCATCTTGAGAGTAGCTGTGACGTCTCATTGGTCACTTTGAAGAACCTTTTAAAGCAGCAAAAGTCCATTTGGAGCAGCAACAAGTACTGTTGGAGCATAAACCCACATTTCATTCGTACAAGTTCAAACATCACCTTAAGATTCATGCACTTATGTCTATCTTCCCTTCCTGTCTCTGTGCAACCTTTTTCATGGCATCGACATCATCGCAGTTTTGATCTCCTAGCGAGCAGTTTAATTCCACCTAGAAGCACGAGGCTCGGTAACAAGACGCTGACTGATGAAGGGCAGTACAAACTTCTGTGCATGCTTATTTTAGGTAAGAAATCAAACGTAAGCCAAACGCTGTATTCCACCGAAATAATGTTAGAATATAATAACTTAAGCCCCCCAAAGTGATGTTTTCTTTAAGTTCTAAATGTTGTTATAAAACTGCAGTTCTTAATTTAGATAAAAAAAAATCAAGATTTTGTTATTTGATTATGAACATCAATGACAATTTATAACCGTTAAAAAAATCAACGGCACAGAGAAGCCGGCATTGATTGCCAGGTGGGTATAGTATATGATATTCCAATGGCCTGTGGATTCACCCGACGAAAAGGTGCTTGAATGATAGACTGCCTGAACACATGAGGGCAGTTAAGAACGGGTCTCCAGACTCTGAGGTTACTAAACATGTACAGGCATGCAATAATTGTTTGCCTGATTGGGGATCTACTGTTGTTTTGACCAAAGAGAGAGATTGTGCAAAAAGAGTCTTGAGAGAGACAAGCAGAATCACGACTGCAGGCAATTGTATCAGTCGGCTGTCAACCGCATTAGACGAAGCGACCCAAAAGCTTTTGCTGCTGCTTCATTTTCTATTTTCTTTTTTCCCGGTGTCGGTTCATCAGTTTCAATGTGGGCCTTTGTACGAGATGCAGGTTAGGCCTTGGAGTTTGTGTAAAGGTGTTGTGCATTGGATCCAACCTTGGGGGTTGTGTCAATACACCTTTTCATGTTTACAAATAAACCGGAGCGCCCCTAGCGGATGCCACCGGTGCCGCACATGCGCGATGGGGATGTGGGCAAAAAGCTCGCTGTCGCCCTAAAAAAAAACCCATTGAAGTGCAATGTTATCGGCGTCGGTATGAGTCCCCCTGCCCTTTTTCATGCTCCAATTGTTGATTCTACGTCTTCCTGGCAATGTCTGACTACTTGAGCAGCATCAGCGAAATTAACGAGGCTCGTTACACCGCAAAACTTCGCATGAATAATGTGACATAAGGCGATTCATTCCGCGTGGAAGCCACAGAATGGACGCTAAAGCCAGAGTTGCAAGATGAGATTTCGCTCGCAATTTTCAGTCGCGACATCGCTCGGGCTGCAAAAGCGTGAACCGTGGCTGAGATGGTCGACGTCGATACTGGAAATTGCAAGCAGAATCGGACGAAGTGAATCAGGCAAAACAAGTCGGTGATGGCCACTGGTAACAATTGATCAACATATCCTTGCATCTACTGTTTACATCGAGCCTGCTTACCAACCTTCAAACTTAAGTCTTCTGAGGCCTACACTTACCTCTTATCGCAAGTACCGGGACCATGTTTGCTCTACGGGCCAATGTCGTCTAAAAGACCAGACGACAAGCAGAAATATTTGAAAGAGCAGACGACAGTTCGAACGATCAGGCGGCCGTTTGAACTTGAAGACGCACTGAACGTAGTTTGCAGGTGGTCCGCACAACTTGACGGTTTTCCGGCGTTCATGTTGGAACAAAACAAATAAATCTGATGATCACAAATATCCGTGAATTCAACCCAAAGTGCTTCCCGCCCAAGCAATCGTTGTCCGACGGCATCTGGTTTTTCCTTTTCACGGCACATATCCACGTTCTCGGACGAACCAAGGACATGAAAACGCTACGGTGCGCCACCACCGCGCTGTGGCGTAACAGAGGTGAGTTTGTGTATAGGACTTTGTTTGCAACGGTGTGTACGAACTGAGTTTGGTGGTTTGAAATGAGGTCAAGACGAGGTGTACACTGGCTGAAGGTCCTAGGGGCGTGTGCAGTTTCCGGGAGACTTGTGAGAGAGATGGAATATAAACGACTGTGCCAATAAAGTTTAGTAGCTGCATTTGAAACATTTTGTGTGTTGCCCCCCTTTTCGTCCATCGTTTCTGGTTTTTAGGGGCGAAGCCCCTTAGGGTCTAGCCTTGTCTGTCCGGCGTCCGTGCTCACATCGA